TAGCCTTAATTAACGATCAGATGTGATTTAGCGATCAGAATTAATTTTGCATAATTAATTTTAATTACAAAAATAAGGAAAAGTGATAGTTCTTTCGCGTCTTGATCACTGTCCACATTGTTGCACTTTTAAGTTCAGCACTGCGAGGATCACTGTTCACATTGTTGCACTTTAAGCTCAACAGTGGGAGACTCATAGTTCACATAGTTGCAGCTTTCTTAAGTTCAACGCTGCGAGGATCACAGTTCACATTGTTGCAAGTTTGTTAAGTTCAACACTGCGAGGATCACAGTTCACATTGTTGCAACTCTGTTAAGTTCAACCCTCCGAGGATCACAGTTCACATTGTTGCAACTCTGTTAAGTTCAACCCTCCGAGGATCACAGTTCATATTGTTGCAACTATGTTAAGTTCAACACTGCGAGGATCGCAGTTCACATTGTCGCAACTTTGTTAAGTTCAACGCTGCGAGAATGACAGTTCACATTGTTGCAATTTTAAGTTCAACCCTGCGAGGATCGCAGTTCACATTGTTGCATCTTTGTCAAGTTCAACCCTGCGAGGATCACAGTTCACATTGTTGCAACTTTGTCAAGTTCAACGGAAATAAACTGAGCAAACTATAAGCAGTATTATACAGGAAAAACCAACATTTTACCAACACTACTAGCTTCATCACAAATAAACTCCTTACACTATTTTAACGAGGCGGACTCGTGACGTACTTACAGTTCAAATGCAACAAATCTTGCTCGAATATTTAATACATTTCAATTTGAAGTTCAAGTCGAATTTGTATAGTCAAAAACCGTTGAATACAAAATAGCCTCAACATTTTCACTTTCCTTACTAATTTTAATTTAATATTGTAGTTAATAGTTAATGACTGACACACTTGACAAACTAATCAATTGCAACTTTGTTAACTTCAACACTGCGAGGATCACAGTTCACATTGTTGCACTTCACACTATTATACTCGAAATAAACTGAGCAAACTATAAGCAGTATTATACAGGAAAAACCAACATTTTACCAACACTACTAGCTTCATCACAAATAAACTCCTTACACTATTTTAACGAGGCGGACTCGTGACGTACTTACAGTTCAAATGCAACAAATCTTGCTCGAATATTTAATACATTTCAATTTGAAGTTCAAGTCGAATTTGTATAGTCAAAAACCGTTGAATACAAAATAGCCTCAACATTTTCACTTTCCTTACTAATTTTAATTTAATATTGTAGTTAATAGTTAATGACTGACACACTTGACAAACTAATCATGCAGCAATGGGCCAAAGCACACTGATTTAAAATGGCAGGCCCGAAATTATCTAACGTGTAATTACTTGTATCCAAAAAATGAAGACACACACTGAAACACCGCGGAATATCTTTTTACATCGCGCAACGTTTATGGAACACACTGTACAGACAATTAGCGGTTAATTAATCAATCATCCCGCAGTCTATACGCTCAATCTTCGCATAATGAATTCCACAGTGTATTTCTCAATTTTAGGTTATTCCGGGTCAGTATAACTGTTACTGACTATATGAGACTTAACGGTCCGCATGTATATTTACTAGGTAGGCCAATCATCAGGCAGATGAATTGCTGTGTATTCTAATAAAAAGTATGACAAGTTTTATCACTTTGAACTATCGTGAAGATAATGTCTCACCACTTCCTTGTTGCTGACTACTATTTTTTAGTACTTTTAACGTTTATAGGGCCTTGGAATTGTAATGATATTTAGATGCTAACATGATACACATATGACATTGACACATGTTAGGTTAGGTTAGGTTTGCTTTGGTCACCATAAGATTAATCCCTCATCACTTATTAATTTATCATGATACAATTATCGATAGTAATCAATTGCTATGTATACATCCTTATGAAAATTCAATAATAATTTTTGACCCAAGACTTTCCATTACAAAAATGAAATTAGCCCTAAATTTAGTCCTGAAATTTATCCTAAATTTAGGACATACAAGCATGATGTCTGGTCCAAAGTTCCAAAGTTTGGTGCTATACTCCGGACCAAATTCCCTCCGCTCTTTCCGCAAAATCAAAAGAACAGTAGTGACTCACGATAGGTCCCCAGAAAATTCTAACGAAGCATAATTGATGGGAGGACGCAACTGCTGTTACGTTTTACGAGACCACATGAGGTAATGAAGAAATACTTCCCGTATTTATGTACGAAATTCCCAGGCTGTGGCTTTCGTTCTAACAACGATTCTGTGTTCTTTCCTTGCACGGACCTGGCATGCAGAGATCCCTGCTATGTGGGATTAACTTTCACCGCAGCATTTACCGTCGACTCGATGACGTTGGCGATCACAACCGACCTTGCGTTCCGAGTACCGGTATTTAGATTAAAGAAAACATTTTTCACCGGTACTAAACTTCATAAATCAGATCTCGATAATATTTTATGTACATTTTTCTGTTTCCCTGATTTTTGGGATCTATGATATACTTGTTTAATGATTGGTGAGAGAAAATCGTAATAAGTGAGGATGTTGGGTTGGAAAGTGAAAGACACAGGTGATATATGTTATATATGTTATATATGCTATGTATGTTATATATGTTATATATGTCACATATGTGATATATGCTATATATGCTAGATATGTTATATATGTCATATATGTTATATATGTCACATATGTTATATATGCTATATATGTTATATATGTTATATATGTCATATATGTCATATATATCATATATGTCATATGTGCTATATATGTTATATATGTTATCTATGTTATGTATGTTATATATACCACATATGCTATATATGTTATATATGTCACATATGTTAAATATGTCATATATGTTATACATGTTATATATGTCATATATATCATATATGTTATATATGCTATATGTGTTACATATGTCATATATGTATATATGCAATACATGTTAAATATAATATAATTAAACAATGAATAAAAGAATTTTACAAAGAACATAAAAATATAACAATGTACTGAAATATAGTCTCGTATGTAGTAATAGTTAAAAAGCAAATAATGACTTAAATAAATAAATTAAAAGAAGTTCTTAATAAACCTCATAAGTATTAAGTTTAGAACGAAATTATGAAGCGCACGTCACAAGGAGACACGTTTAGATGCGAGCAAAAAAGCGTCCACTTCAAGGTAACTCATGGCGCCAAATTCAAATCGCATAACATTAATTTTAGGATTTAACGTTTCCCTAGTTGTTAATAAAAATACAACGATGCAAAATGTAAATTTTATTTAAGAATACGTAGATTAAGGAATATTACAGCGAAGAAATGATTAAAAAAGGAAAACAGAGAGCTGAGAAATTAGGACACGAAGACATGCGCGTAGAGTGTGCGCAGTAGTCTAAAGTCATGCAGGGTTAATTGACAAGCGGTAAATGTACAAAAAGTAGGATTAAGAGCAAGCAGTAAAAAAGATGGAAATTTACTAAAAACATTGGAGAAGTTTTTAGTGATCGATTTGCAAATGTTACGAAACGGTGGTCGCAGTGAAAGTACTGATTCGACAGTTTTTAGAACCGAGACGAAATACACCTTGCGGTGTGGATGCAAAACCGAGCAAACACTTTTATTCGAACCTCAATTATTTATCGAACGATATTCCGATAATTAAAGCAGAAATTATTAATACAAACTGCGAATTCTGAAATTGTGTCCTCATTAAATATTCTCATTAAATATTCACCGAAGAAACGTGACTTTGCTAATAAATTAAACGATTTAATTTTCATTTCTAAAATTGCACTCAAAACTAGAAGCAAATTTTCCGGAACATTAATGCGCTTCTAGTCGGATAATTTGCCTTTTGAAGTTGTACAAACATCTCTGTAAATTTATCATTTACCCGTCAACAAACAGTGTGCAGTGGTCTTTCCACTGTTCGGCACTAATTAGTATTATAATTATATTTCGTAAACCCCTAATTAGATCGTACAATATTAATTTGCCGGTGTCCAATTACGTAGTTGTGGATTTAAATAGTTCTGTTCATGATTCAACCATTGACGTCAATGATTAATGTCATAATACAACAGTTACCACTCATAAAAATAGTTATTTTATTTTCACTTTTAGTAGAACATATTAGTGTCATTATTTTGAATTCAAATTTTCGCGCCACTGCGTTGCGTAATGGCGTTTTTTAGACTACTTCAAAACTAGTTCCTTTTATAAATATGTTTATAAATTATAATCTTCATAAATAATTTTCAAAAATAATCTGATTATTTATAGTCTATAATAATAAATTAAAATTTAATTAACAAATACATGCAAAAGTTTTATTTCCTTTCTCAAAGGACATCATCTTAAATTACTACATTAATAAATGAATTTACTTCTTCCAAACTATTAACTTTTATTATGAACATTTCTTTCAAACTTATTACCAAACAATTAATTCAAAATATGAATATTAAGTCTAATACTTAATTAAGTAATCTCGCCTCGAGCGTTTAACCAGCATGGAATTATCAAGCAATAAGCACAACCTAAAAAGGTATGCAATTGTTTAAACCATATACACATTGTTTAACGATTAAACCACAAAAACTAGTGAACCAAAATTAGTGATGAACCATGAAAAAGATGGTCAAGTATCCTTGAAGACATCCGTTATTAAAAACAGCCATCATAAGCGTGGAAGTCGAAAGGAAGCATCAATGCTGTTCATTGACCTTCACTGAAGCAACTAGTGTTCAAGTATATGTTCCCCTTCCCTCCCCCATGATTAATCTACCAAGATCAATAATTCAAAATTGAATTGAAAGGGCAGTAAAAGCGAGTTTTCACTGAATCGATCAATGACTGGTATGATTTTTTTTATACAGTAAAATCTGACGAAGCGAAACAATATTACACGAACACATCTTCCTTTCACCTGACGTAACGCGCTAACTTTTCCGAGTAAAAGATTACGAAAATGGAAATTACTTACCGGCCACGAAGAGTGCCTCGTTCCGCGTGTCGATCGGTCATCCTCAGACGGTCGTGTCAACGTCGAGGAATTTAAGGACTCATCTCGATGATTCTCGGGAACAGTGTACGATTTTGTAAATGCACCCTCTGCCCCGCGCGCTTCGAAATTCCTCAAAGGCGTAAATACCGACAACAGCGCGACGGGCGATTTCCGGATTTGTTACCTAAAATTCGCGCCAAGTTCGATTAACCTTAATGTTGGAAAACTTGCAAGTTTTAGTTCTACACTCCCTTTTATTTTTATACATTCACGTTGTGGATTTGGATAATTAGTTTTCTGGAGTTTTCTAATTTGGAAATTAGTGATTTGGAAATTCTGTGTTTAGATAATTTCCAAATTTCTAATTTCGCTAATTTCTCAATAGGTAATTCCCTATTTCTCTAATTTCCCGCTAACTAATTCCCCATTTCTTTAATTCTCCATTTCTCTAATTCCCAATTTCCTTAATTCCCCATTACCTAATTCCCTATTTCTCTAATTTCCCGCTAGCTAATTCCCCATTTCTCCAATTCTCCATTTCTTTAATTCTCCATTTCTCTAATTCCCCATTTCTCTAATTCCCCATTACCTAATTTCCTATTTCTCTAATTTCCCGCTAGCTAATTCCCCATTTCCCTAATTCACCACTAGCTAATTCCCCATTTTCCCATTAGCTAATTCCCCATTTCCCTAATCCCCATTTCTCTAATTCCCCATTTCCCTAATTCCCCATTTCCCAAATTTACATTTTACAAATTTTCTATTTCTCCAAATCGCCCATTCTCCCAACCCCCAAACCTCAAATAAACATCCAAATTTCCAATTCTCTCAAATCCCAAAGTTTCCCACACAACTTCCACAAAACACAAATTTACAAATCCTTAACTCCCCAAATACAAAATTACAGTTCCAATAATATTACACTAAATTTTAAATTATAATATTATGATCTGTCCACACTGAATACAATGAAATACAAGCATCCATGATTTTTAACAACAACAAACCACAGTGAAGCACAACTAACAACATAAATATTATCAGAATATTAACCGAATGCGTGGCGAATCCGCGTCGTCCTGTCGCACTGTTCTGTCACTGTTCCGTCGAATTCTAGTAAACGAGAGATCTTTTGATCGATTGTTATCTTTGACGTAAACCACCACGCGTACTGTTGCCGGTGTGTACAACTTTGACCCTCCCGATTACAAACGAGAAGCTTAAGAAATCCGTGGAGAGATCCTGTACCCGGCGTGAAGTCAATAACACAGAACCGTGTCGTACGATGGAATTTCAGTGGCGGTCTGTTCACATTATAATCGTAGTCACAACACACACCCGCCCAACCGACCGAACCCGTGAAAGGCGACTGAGGTTCTGACCGATCTAGTGGGACCTCTTCTTTGCTGTTGTCTCACTCTAGCAGGAACGCGAGGAGCCACATCGTTCCCCACACGAGAGAACTCGACGAAAAACCGCAAGGTTTTGAACGAGCCAGGGGATTGGCTGCTGGTGGGGAAACGGGAATAGTGATAGGAGACCGCTCCCACTGTGATGGCAGCACTGCAACCGAGAACGTCGATATACAAAATTTTAATCGTCAGTAACATAGAAAAAGAACGAAATTGCATGAAATTTTAATTACTTGGAGAATTTTAATAACCGCTGGTAGTCGAAACAGAAATGGGGCCATATAACGAGACTGCGCTATATTACGTCTTAAACCTTGTTAAACCTTAAACATTTCTTGAATAATTTTAATAACCGGTAGTCGAAGGTAAAACAAAAAGTGGGCCATATAGCGAGACTGCGCTATTTTACGGTCTTTAAACCTTCCTAAAACCTTAAACGTTGCTTGGATAATTTTAATAACCGGTAGTCGAAGGTAAAACAGAAAGTGGGCCATATAGCGAGACTGCGCTATTCTACGGTCTTAAACCTTCCTAAAACCTCAAACATTTCTTGAATAATTTTAATAACCGAAAGTCGAAGGTAAAACAGAAAGTGGGCCATATAGCGAGACTGCGCCATATTACGTCTTAAACCTTGTTAAAACCTTAAACGTTGCTTGGATAATTTTAAGAACGGGTAGTCGAAGGTAAAATAGAAATTGGGCCATATAGCGAGACTACGTTATATTACAGTCTTAAACCTTGCTAAAACCTTAAACGTTGCTTGGATAATTTTAATAACCGACAGTCGGAGGTAAAACAGTAATTAGGCCATATAGCGAGACTGCACTATATTACGGTCTTAAACCTTGTTAAAACCTTAAATGTTGCTTGGATAATTTGAATAACCGGTAAGCGAAGGTAAAACAAAAATTGCGCCATATAGCGAGCCTGTGGTTGATTTGAAATATACAAACGCTACTTTCTTCTGAAGAAAGTATATTTCTACATGGTTTGTTTACAGATGATACGAAAAATTACACAATTCATGTACAATACACTTACAAAAATCATTCGTTGTGACGACAGCCTAGTTTAGCAAAATCTGCGATTTCACTTCGACGATAAAAAAGGCACAAATAATAGCTCGATTTTTAGTGATTAAACGATGCTTAATAGTAAAATTGCTCTTTATTATGAAAATGAACATTTTACATATGGCTGATTATTCAATATGTGGTATAATATACCGAAGGTACAGCGAAAATTACGCTAAATGACACAAGTAACAATAGCTTTACGATTAATAAAGTGAAAAAGGAAGAATGATACGAAAATGATAATTTTCTTGGAAAACGTGTACCGTTTGTATGCTTCAATCTTTCTACTATAGAATTTACATCGATTGAACACTACCGGAATAAAGATGAATTACGTTTGAAAAGTGCAACGTCGAAATGTCTCTTACTGTAATTTTACTAAGCCTATGAACTTCAAAGATTCCAGTCTCACGATTTTAATACACTGTGTACCATAAGCTGCAACGCATAATTTTGTGTCAGTTTAACGTTTGAGATCCATTAATTACTATTTATAGATACCATTAACTTTTAAGAAGTTAACAAAATGGAAACAATGTTTGTAGAATTATAACCTGCCAACTAATCTTACATACCTACATGTAATGCTAAGGAGACTGAAAACTTTAAAAATGAATCTTCACAACACAACGCTTTTGGAATATGTTTGTCCAAAATAAAAATTTCCGCCTAAACATATTTATGCACATTTCATACTGTTATAAGACAGTTGAGAGTATTTAATAACAAGAATGAGTATGCATCTTGCGGCTACATGCACGGTATATATTTAAATCAAACTTGAAATTTTTAAATACACTGAAAGTAACATAAAGACTATTAATACTTGATCGTATTATACATTTCAGCGTAACACTGACGCGATCTTCGAGTAGAAAACATAAGAACTTGCGTATGATACTTTTAAAAGAAGTCCATGAACAGAACAGAACTAAAGCAATTTTTCCTTATTTTTTTTTTCTTTTTATCTAAAACTATACATAACAATTGACACATCCAAGTCCTTAAATACTCTAACTTTCAAAACATTTAGTATCCGTGTACAGTATCAAAGATATCTGCAGTTTTGAGCAAGCCATGCTACAACACATCGCTCGTCAAATAATTGCAGTGCAGCATACACTAAAATTTATTTAGTTTAAACCTATATTGTTAACTTTTTTTGTTTTGAATGCCAATTAAGTGATGAAAATGTCTTTTCTTTTTAACTCTCATTGCCTATATTAAATTATATCAATATTTGCTTTATTTATATATATATCTATATCTATATATATTTATATATATATATCACGCCAGTCTCGCCATCAATTTAGTAACATAGGTACACTTTGTCAACAATCACTCTGCCGCTTTGCATCTGCTTTCTCTATAGATTTCAAACGTTCTTGAACAAATCACTAAATTATGCTGGCTTTTGAGAACCCTTCTTTCCGATCAGTGATTTGTGGATATGTGGAATAACACCTGTAAAAGAAATAGAATTGCTTATTGCTTTATATCGCAGTACAATCTCAACATAAACATAAAATTCTTGAAGCACTTTCTGTTCTGCAACATTCTGTAACAGTAAACACATACCTCCTCCTGCAATAGTTGCTTTAATGAGACTATCTAATTCTTCGTCACCACGAATAGCAAGTTGCAGATGTCTCGGTGTAATACGTTTAACCTTTAGATCTTTAGATGCATTTCCTGCTAATTCCAGTACCTGAAACAAAATTCCCTTTACCACCTAAACTCTACAAAACTAACGTTTCATTTCATGAACAAAAATATTAGCGCATAAAACCATAAAATACAATTGTGTAATAAAGTAAAGACAACAATATATTTAATTTAATATTCCAATTATCCAATCTTGATTAACAAGTCGTGTGCTTGAACCTGGCTAACAACATGTTTGTTTCTCTAATTATGTTAGGCTCTCTTCAGGATTATAATACACTATACAAATCTGTAAGGCAGTTAATACATTAATTGTTGAATAGTTTTATGAAATAATAAATGATGATGGTGTAGAGATTATACTTACATACTATAGAATTGTGGGTTTTTATTTTACATGTATAAAACACAAGTGCACTGACAAAATTAAAATATGATATGAAAACACGCTGTACTGGTATGTACAATGTGGTGTTAAAAAATGAATGTTGTATTATAAAATCATGTGCTGATCGTGTACATGTACAAATGGTAAATATACAAAAGGTATTTCTGCTCAAATGTGAAACATCATGTGTGTGGTTAATGCTTCATGACGTGTCATTCTTTGCTTCTGATTTTCAGACATTCTTTGATTGACTGATTTTCAGTCATTAATGTATGAAAACATTTATTCAAGATCACTTTGTCAACAATCACTCTGCCGCTTTGCATCTGCTTTCTCTATAGATTTCAAACGTTCTTGAACAAATCACTAAATTATGCTGGCTTTTGAGAACCCTTCTTTCCGATCAGTGATTTGTGGATATGTGGAATAACACCTGTAAAAGAAATAGAATTGCTTATTGCTTTATATCGCAGTACAATCTCAACATAAACATAAAATTCTTGAAGCACTTTCTGTTCTGCAACATTCTGTAACAGTAAACACATACCTCCTCCTGCAATAGTTGCTTTAATGAGACTATCTAATTCTTCGTCACCACGAATAGCAAGTTGCAGATGTCTCGGTGTAATACGTTTAACCTTTAGATCTTTAGATGCATTTCCTGCTAATTCCAGTACCTGAAACAAAATTCCCTTTACCACCTAAACTCTACAAAACTAACGTTTCATTTCATGAACAAAAATATTAGCGCATAAAACCATAAAATACAATTGTGTAATAAAGTAAAGACAACAATATATTTAATTTAATATTCCAATTATCCAATCTTGATTAACAAGTCGTGTGCTTGAACCTGGCTAACAACATGTTTGTTTCTCTAATTATGTTAGGCTCTCTTCAGGATTATAATACACTATACAAATCTGTAAGGCAGTTAATACATTAATTGTTGAATAGTTTTATGAAATAATAAATGATGATGGTGTAGAGATTATACTTACATACTATAGAATTGTGGGTTTTTATTTTACATGTATAAAACACAAGTGCACTGACAAAATTAAAATATGATATGAAAACACGCTGTACTGGTATGTACAATGTGGTGTTAAAAAATGAATGTTGTATTATAAAATCATGTGCTGATCGTGTACATGTACAAATGGTAAATATACAAAAGGTATTTCTGCTCAAATGTGAAACATCATGTGTGTGGTTAATGCTTCATGACGTGTCATTCTTTGCTTCTGATTTTCAGACATTCTTTGATTGACTGATTTTCAGTCATTAATGTATGAAAACATTTATTCAAGATTGGATAATTAGTATATTAAATTAAACAGATTGTCATTATTATCTGCAACTATTATCAAATCTTCAAATAAATCATGTATAAAAAAAGTTGCATTGAGAAGAAAATTAAAACCTAACAATCTGGAAACTTAACATAAACTAAACTACTGATAACAAAAAAGACTGCAGTGGTGGACAAAAGTATTGACACAGACATACTTTGGTCTTTCAAATATAAAAAAATTTTTGAGCAACGCGCACACATGATAATAAAACGTAAAAAAGACGACGGAAAATTTTGAGAGAACCGTGTAACACAAGCAAAAAAATATGCTGTTCCTTATTTTGCTTACGGTTGATGAAAAGGCGGGAAAAATCAGCCATAATACTTGGCGTTAGTGACGCCATCAGTAGCTAGTTATGCCCAACGCATATAATCCAGGGTTATAACGGCTGATCTTCCTATTGTGCGTATTTGCCTGTGTCCCCCCCTGAACCCCTCCCCAAACGACTATCTCTGTTTTGCGAACACTTTCTTCTCTTTCACTCACCTCAGCAGTGAGGTATTCCAAGATAGCCGCGCTGTACACCGCCGCGGTGGCACCGACTCGACCGTGACTTGTGGTTCTGTTTTTCAAATGCCTATGAATCCTACCGACTGGAAACTGAAAAAAAATAGACAAAAAAATAAACGTAACATTCGAAATTTGTACGTACGCAATGTGCATATACGAAACTAGTTACATTGACAAAATATATTGCTTTCGTGGCAAGGTAAATATTTTCAGGTTAGGACGCATCGTACGTAATGTCTATTCGAGTAACATCAGGTCATTAGCGTCAGCAGCTTTTCACGCGAGAAATATCGAACGAAAAAACATGACACGAATTTCTGCAACAACTCGTTCACGTTGCGTCTCCGTACGATTTTATGCCAGTCAATTTTTCAGTGACAAAAACCGATCAAAACGTTTGCGACAATGCACGTAATACGGTCCTCTTTTAACGCAACAGAATATCGAGCGGTATACGATTATTTGGCTCTCCCGAGCTCTGCAGCTCGGTACGTTTCGTCATTGAATAGTGCACGCCCCGTATTTTCATTTATTTACGTTTAAAATAGTAACAGAATCTCTCAGACGGTTTTGTAGATCGGTATCGCTAATAACACGTTAAGTTACTTTACAAAGTGTTGCTATTGACATCTACATGTTCTCGCACGCGATGATAAAAATGTAAACATGTGACTAATAATTAAATCGTTAAATCTGTATCGATGCGTAAATATTTAAATAAGTTTCAAAGTATCGGTTCGGAAACGCGTACATAAACAGTTGTTTAAGCGACAGGTAAATAACGAGTGAATACAAAAATAAGTCATGTTTTATGCTCAAGTCGCATTTGACGATTTTGCGAACAATTTAATTAAAACATAAATAAACATTGATAAAACAATTTCCGGTTGCACGAACTTTCTTTCGATTGTTATAGAAAAAAATATTTCAATTAAAGGCACATTAGTATCTGAATTGAAAGATAAGAGAGGGGGGAGGACGTACACAGGCTCAACCGTTTGGTTTGAAAACTTCCGAACTTAGACGTGACCACCATAACTTTAATTCGAAAAATAATGCATTTCCCGCAAGCATTTCGCGCTCGTCTGTCGCGATAAATGTAAACGGAAGTTAAATCAAGCGATTTCACGCTTTACGTTTCACCAATGATCAACGAAACTCGGAAAAAAATCAACTGTCGTTAGTCGGCGAAAAACGCTGGCTTTTCGCGCCAACCATGATACTTTAACCTGTTTACTTTTAAAATTTACGGAGATAATCGCGGAAATACGGGTTGTCAAAATATAACGTTGCTCGAAACGCAGTGTACGCGTTCGAGTTGGTTGAACAACGGGCAATAAACTCACCTGCAAGCCGGCCCTAGCTGAACGAGAGACCGCCTTTGCCTTCGCTTTACCAGAGTCCTTGCCCGCCTTTCCGCCAGCCTGTTCAGACACGAAAATTACTGTTAATTTGCAAGATACAAGCACAAAACTTCGCCAGACGACAGATTGAACATCGCAGAACACGATGGTGTGGTTACGAGGCACGGATGGCTCAAGGAGCCACTGGAAACTTGCGGATACTCACCATTATCTGACAAGAGTCTTTGCGGTTCGCTACACGACAGACTTGCGAGAAGCACAGACGACGCCGTCTAATCGCGGTCCCGCCAAATACGCTTGGCGCTGTCGGCGCCTCCCGCAATTCTACCACGTGACTGCAGCCCACCAATCACGGACAACCGTCGAAATACCCCCGCGCCATCTATTGGACGACACTCGAATCACCACTTTGACAGAAACGTTTCTATCAAGTGTCAGAACATTGAGGAGAACCTTTCGAACGTATATGTCCACTTTTGGTTATGTAGGTACAAATAATAAATTAAGTTTATACAACTGAGTGTCTTCACTTTTAAACACAGATGTTTTAAATTTTAGAACTTTTTTTGATAGACGTTTTTTAAAGTAAATAATAAATAAAGAATAATAAATGTAGAAGAATAATAACTTGTTTGGTATCAGTTTGCTTTGTAATAATTTTATTAGAGTATAGTATGGTGTCCAGGTATTCGTAATTGGCGCCACGGCGCATGCGCAGTGAACAGCCAATAGAATTCGAGCATCGGATATTGGTATCCCCTGCCGTCTCCCCTCGTGCAATCCTAGCTTACATCCCTATATTCCCAGGCCCATATCTTGTAATACTTGAACCGTTCCGTGGTCCGGGTAATTTTCCACGCTGTTTAAGGCACACCTTTTTATTCGAACAGCTTATTTTGATTTTCAAGTTGCATACTTTTTAAACCATCTTTTTCCTTCATATTTTTAGACACTGTATATGTTTGTCCGACGTTTACGTTTGAATTTGATGACTTCAATTACTGCGTTTATGCGTTATAAATCTTGTATATCTAATAAAGTAGTAAAAATCAGAAATACATTTTTTTAACGTTGGAGTTTATGCTTCATAAAAATAGTTAATTGAATTTATGTGCTTTTATATACGTTTGAAAGCACTTTGCGTTTAATTTAAATTCGGATAGTGCTTTAAAAAAATAGAGCACTTATAATTTTTTAATAAAATACTGAGCTTTAGAGAAAAGTTATGAATATTATAAAAAGGTAAAGGAACATTTGTGTCATTTTACATATTTTGGTAATTATTAATATTGGATGAAAGAAACTGTATCACTCTTTATTGATAAAAAGGCAGTCATAATAAATTTATACAAAAGACGTATATATACGTACACGTTGTGCACGCGTGCGCCTCTGCATGTATATTGTATTTATATATAATACGTTGTTGCTAAGAGAATGTCAAGACTATAGGACGGGAAATGGGCAGCTCTATTTGAAATCATGTTGTAATATAACTAATAAAAAAGTATGAAACTGTCTCTAATGTACACACGGTGCAACTTAGGCTTCATTTAGTTAAGGATGAATATGCAAGGAGGAGATCCTAGCTTAGGGAGATCCCAAGGAAAAGTGAAGAGAACCTGAGGACTGGAAGGAGAACCTGAGGACAACTCAAGAGTGCCTAGAGATTTTGAAAATTTAAAATTCTGAAAGAGCCTAAGAGTCCTAGCAAAATCCAGGGACTAGATGGAGACTTAAGGAGAACCCTGGTAGCCTTAAGAGAATTCTAAAAGAATTTTTATAGATTCCCGATAGAATCTAAAACCCTGGACTCTAGAATGTAAAAAAGTCTCGAGAGGATTCAGGAAAAGCTCTAAGAGGATTCAAGTCGAGATATAAATCTGGGAGAATTTAAAGAAGTTTGTAAGGCTGAAAAAGTCCAAGCAGCCGGAAGCTTTTATCTCGCTGCATAAAGAAAGAGGCAGATAGTGGAACATTTTCCGCATATTCTCTTTTAACTAACGGAAGCCTGAGTTGCAGCAGGCCGTCCATATCTATACTTTACTAGAGAGCACTGTCTAAAACTGCAGTTGGCACGGCCATCACGTTCGGGTTGCAATATCGACGAGTCTCTGCGCAGACATGCGCACTGTTCGTGCGCAGACGTGCAACTTTTCCCGCCATTTTTCCCCCACTCTTTTTTTCTCCACGCGTATCGTCTGGTATTATTGGTCGGGGTTTGTCGCTTCGGCCAATTCGTCGCACTTCTCGTCCAGATCCTCCTGCAATTATTAGAATAAATATTAAGAATTGTAACTTACAGGAATATTGAAGATGCATCTTCTTTGCAGGAGGAACATTACCTCCTCGAGTTGCAGGCATTTGCCCCATTCGGTAAGGGTAATTTCGTGATCGTTATTAATATCGCAAGAGTCGAGGAACGGCCCGATGCAGTGTTCCAGGGCCATTAACGGCGCTCTGATGGGGAAAAGTTCGTGTCTGGAAACGGCTTTGTCATGGGGGTGGCCATCCAAGTCGCACCACTTCCAAATTGCCGCGTTGCTCCAACGTAATGTGTGATTAGTTTCCGCTTCCCGCTGCATCTTCAGATAATGCGATGGCAACTCTTGACGGTCGGCCAGGTCCCTCATGATGTTGAACAGCCAATCGCGCATACGCCTTGGGAAATCTGCCATTTCTTCCTCTTTACACATCTGCAATTAATTTGGTCATTTTAGTCAAGATTCGATTAAGGTCATTTTAATTCAAGGTCCAATTGAATGAAGGAGCAATTACAGGCATCTGACGACATTGGCCGTAGTACTCGATGTGGACATGCTGGTAATCGGGGCCCTTGCACCTGTCGTCGTTGGTGTCGCAGAAACAACGTTGCTGGTAGACTTCACAGTCGCTGCTGAACGTCTCGTTGTAATTGGTGCAGACCTTTCGTCTGGGGTCGACCTCTTCGCCGCATACCTCCACGCAGACACACTCGGCGGTCTCCTCGTCGATGGCCTGAAATTTGGCAAGGGTTAATCAAATGATATTCGATTTAAATTTTAATGGACTGGCGAAACTTTACGGCAAGGACTAATATTATACTGACATTCTTAAGAATAAGGATGGTATCCTTGATAAGAAGGATACTTTTGTATATGAGAGTCTGCTAAGGCTCCTCATAAGGAATCTTCACTTCTAAACCACTTATTTTGTACTTATAATGAAATCTTTGCTTTTGTATGTATCATATGTTCAAATTAGTAGTAAAAGACATAAGCGCTGAATCTTAGTCAACTCAAACTGAAGCAAACAGAAGAGGACTCCAACAGAAGTAATCTGCTCATGAGACTCTAAAATAAAAAATGCCTTGCAGCTGTGTCTCTCACATGAAGTTCTAAAGTTCCAACTAAACTAAATCTCAAATCATTAAATTCAGGAAGTGAAATCACATCAAGCCACATGATGGATGTTCCACATGAGGCCACACATCCTAGTCACACATCCTAGTCCATGCGATAAACAATTGCATCATTTGTTACATCCGAAAGAATGAATTTGGACGAACCTTGCAAACTCGTCCTGCGCTGCAGTGTTTATTCATGCACGGATCCATACGGAGCAAACTCTGACGCTTCGATCCAACCTCGTTTCTGCCATCTTCGGCGGCGACCTCAGCCTCCTCCGACGTCTGTTCGGCTATTTCGTCAGCCTCAAGCATGTTCATGACCTCATCTTGAACGCTGGCTTCCGTCGTGGTCGTGCGACGACGGGGTCTTCCTGCTCGCTAAAAAATCGATAATCATCTTGATGTTAGGCTATCAGACGGTCCGCCATGTTGCTCATACATGGCTGAGGCATCTTGTAGGACTCTTATAATGAAATAGAATTTGTAGCACTGTATTTAGTAGTATGGTACATGGTATAGCAAGGATAACTGAATAATGAGATAGAGCAGTGCAGTGAAATGGCAAATTCAAACATTCTCGTCCGCCATGTTGCTCACACGTGGCTGAGGCATCTTGTGAGAGCCTCATAATGAAATACAGTTTGCACCAGTGTATTCAGTAGTATGGTACATGGTATAGCAAGGATAACTGAATAATGAGATAGAGCAGTGCAGTGAAATGGCAAATTCAAACATTCTCGTCCGCCATGTTGCTCACACGTGGCTGAGGCATCTTGTGAGAGCCTCATAATGAAATACAATTTGTACCAGCGCATTTAGTTGCATAGTACCTGCTATAGTAACCGAATACTGAAATAATGAGATGAAAGAGTAGTATAGTGAAGTAGTAAGCATCAAGGTACATATGTATAGTGAAATAATATGAAAGTAAACACACTGTATCATAGTAATGTAATGTAACAATATAGCACTGAGTAATAACAATAAACGACTTGTGTTATTATAAACAATATAAGAAGTATAAGTTTATTTATATTTACCCGTTTAGCAGAAACATCGGCCAGCATGGAGAGCACCACCAAGGCGAACAAGAGGAGCTTCAGCTTCGTCCTCATCTCTGCAACATCAAACATCATCTCTGTATTCATCAAACAATTGAGGGACACTTATTAGAAAACGAGAATAGATTGAGCCGTGCGTGGCTCACTTTTCGAAATTCCCAGTAATCTGACATCGCACGATTCCGCTCGGGTCAAACCGATGACCGATAATAAATCTCGGAGACCTTAATAGGAGCAACGAAGCGATAACCCAGATATGTATGTACCCTGAAACCACGATCCTTTACGAATCAGCGTTTACACGCGATTTCCTTTGCACTTAAGCTAATAGTAAGAATGCAACTTGACAAATTGGTATTCTTAATAAATCTTCTTTGAACATTTGGAGAAATTGTTTGTTATTAATGGAAGGATGTTATCAAGTACACGTGGGTTATTTTAATGGTCGTGCGTCATTGTTATGGAAGTCTGGAGTACGGCAGTCGATGAAGTTTCGAGAGGCACTTTGGAGGGCGAATCGAAGAATTTTAGTGTCATGTCCAAATTTCGGGGAGGATGGTACTGTGATGGGGAGTTTCCAACTATCTGGTATGGTTATTTGTATAGTGAGCTGTTGAGAGGAATCTTGCAACGGGATCGAACCTTTTTCTTGTGGAACCAAGTGGCTGGGTGATTCATACATTAAGGAGCACAACATTGTTCCACGGCAGAATCCATAAACATATATATCAGATGTGGAATTAATCTAATTCCAGATTTGGGAATTTTGGAATTGGGGGAATAGGGAATTTGGGGATTTAGGAAGTGGGATGTAGGGAGTTGGAGAAATAGGGAATTGGAGGGTTTGGGAATTGGGGAAATAGGGAATTAAAGGGGTTGGGAATTGAGGAAATAGGGAATTGGGGAATAGGGAATTGGGGGAATAGGGAATTTGGGAATTTAGGAATTGGGAAAATAAGGAATTTGGGGATTTTGGAATTGGGGAAATAGGGAATTTGGAGACGTGGGAATTAGAAAGAGAGAGAATTGGAAAAATTGAGAATTTGGGAATTTAGGAATTGGGAAAATAAGGAATTTGGGGATTTTGGAATTGGGGAAATAGGGAATTTGGGGATTTAGGAAGTGTGAGGATTTTGGAATTGGGGAACTAGGGAATTTGGGGATTTTGTAATTGAGGAAATAGGGAATTTGGAGATGTCGGAATTGAGAAAAGGGAGAATTGAAAAAATTGAGAATTTGGGAATTTGGAAATTGGGAAAAATAGGGAATTTAGGGATTTTAGAATTGGGGATATAGGAAATTTGGAGATGTGGAAATTGGAGAAATAGAAATTTAGAAAAATTGAGAATTTGGAGATTTAGAAATTGGGATAAAGAGAATTAGCAAAATAGAAAATTTAGGGATCTTGGAATTGGAGCAAGTGCTTGTCCGCCATTCTGCTTTCTAGCTAGAAGACAAAATGGCGGCCATTAGACTCTTCTCTAACATTAACCTAACTCTCTACCTGTATTATTCTTTTTCAAAATACATTTACGATTAATTATTATGTTTAATAGTTACGTTCAGATAATTTCAAGTATTATTTATAATAATAATTTTATAAAATAGTATGTATGTATAATTATCTTGTAAAATGTCACATATAGTAACCTCGTTAAAAATTTCAAAAGCTACATTCAGATAACTTTGACTCTTGCATAATAACAAACTTATAAACTATTATATATAATAACAATCTTGCAAATTATTATATATAATAATCCCGTTGAAATTCGAAAATCTACGTTCAGATAACTTTGAGTCTTGCATAATAACAATCTTGCAAAGTATTATACATAAAAATCTAACAAAGTATATAACAATCTTACAAAGTATATAATCTCGAACTTTCGAAAGGTAAATAACAGAGACTGATCACATAACCAGCGTCATATCGTTCCGTCATCCCGACTTAAATATCCGAATGAACTTATTGCTCAACCTCGCACTTTTTATGAGAGATATGATCAATACGATCTATTTGTACATAGTGTCATCGCTTTAAATTGATGACGAGTAACGAAGGTTACGTTGAACAACGACCGCCTACTTGTAGCTCGAACAATGTTCGCGCGTTTCTAAGTTTGCATTAATGTTATGGAGTTTGTGATGCTAGCGTTTTACTTCTTCGTTCCGATGATTAGCATATATTTCCGGCGTACAAGGTGAACTACATAACCTCACCACTTCTGGTTATCGCATCATCAATAAACTGATTAATCTCAATAGAAGAAAGTATAATTTTTACATTATTTTTAAACGAGTCAACCTGTATAGAGTGTGCAAGAATATAAATTATAAGAACATAAACCACAAGAATATAAATCGTAAGAATAAAAACCACAAGAATATGAAACATAAGAATAAAGCTAACAAGAATATAAAACATAAGAATAAACTTAACAAAAGAAGACAAGGACCTCCTAATAAGATATCAAAAATATATCAACAAAGCTGCAGAATATTAACAGCGTAAGTAGATTTGCTTCTGAAAAATAGATCGCTGCAATAATAAAGCAAGCTGAACGCATAAACAGTTTTTTATGGCCGCCATTACATCTACAAACTGGGTCTCTAACCTTTTAACCGTTTAATACGCTAAATATATCTTGTTTGGTTTATGCGTAACGTTTCCTCCGTTTGATTACATTTGCAAGTTTCCGCGAACTTGTTCAACACTATCATTGCATAATTTACATCTCATCTTTAATCCCTACCAAGAAATTTTGTTCACTTTATCAGAGTTTTAGGAGTCTTATCAAATTTTTATTAAAAATTAACATTCTTTCAAAGACTTCTTCTCAAGGTTTTTTTTAGTTTTGGAATTGGGACATAGGAAATTTGGGGATTTTGGAATTGGGACGTAGGGAATTTGGTGATCTTGGAATTGATGAGCTAGGGAATTTGGGAATTTTGGAATTGGTGAGCTAGGGAACTTGGGGATTTTGGAATATTAGAAACGCAGTTTCTAATTTTTTTTAGACTATAGTTTTGAACTTTTTACATAAATTTTTTTATGGCGACTTGTCAGTGTCATAAAACGTTCCTCTTATAGCTAATTTCAGTTTTGGAAAAGGGAAGTAATCGCACGGAGATCAGGCGAATTTGGAGGATGTCGAAGCACACAGACTTTTTCGCCAAAAATTCACGAACAGACAGTTCTGTGACACGGTGCGTCATCATGCAACAGAAACCAACTTCCCGGCGCTCGATATTCGGGCCTCACACGAACGATCCTCTTCCACAAATGTTCCATAACACCCAGATAATATTCGCCGTTAACATTTTGTCCCTGCGGAACGAATTCCCGAAGTATAATTCCTTTAGAATCGTAAAAGCAAATTAACATTGTCTCTCGGGACTTCTGGAATCGCAATTTTTTTTATTTTGGAGAGCCTGGAGATTTCCACGTAGCACTTTGGCGCTTTGAGGTTCATACTTGAAGCACCAGGTCTCATCACTAGTTACAATTGATTCCAGGAATGTACAGTTTCTTCTGGCTGTTTTGATAAGATCGCAATATTCAACGCGAGCAATTTGTTGCACTCGCCCGTGATTTTGTGACACGGTGCCGAAAGGTTCTGTCGCATTAAACGCTATAAGTTATTCGTTGCTCGATGACTGCTGTGTTTTGTAGGGAAGGTACACTGTTTTAAGATAACATTTAATAGATGATGCTAGTTTAAATTCAAAAACCGTTACTTTTCCGACATACTGCGTATTATAATTTTTCGATAAAAGAAAAAGCTACGTCTACAGAAGATAACTGATAGTTGTGTCGCTATTTTTAAGATCAGTCTACTAGGAAGAGCAAGTAAACAGTACTTCCTTGAACAAGCCTATCAGTTCTTTCCCTGAATTAAACCCTGAAACAGTATCCTCTGTATGTCACGTGAGCCCACGAATAAAACTCTGGACGTCGTAATTACGAACGTAGGGACTCAAGTTCGATGTTTACTTAAAGCATCTGCAATGAACGGGTTGTTCTTTTTTTAAACCGTTCGATCTCGAATGGTGTTCCAGAAACTTTCCAAGATGGCCGTCCGGTGAAACGAGAGTTTGAAGCAAGAAGAGAACGCGGAGCAGCGATACGCAGCGATTTATGAAGCGTGGAGGCGAACGCATGTAGGAATTGCGAACGACCCTGTTTTTATCGCTGCTATGATCGTCGCCCACGAGCTCACGTAATCGTCGTCATCCGAACTTTTAATAGATATTATAGAAACATATTACTTTGCGTTCAACGGGGAATTACTTTTGCAGTTTGTGAGGTTGCAGTTTTGTGAGGAGAGGTCACTTGGGGATAGGTAGATTTGGTTTGTGAGGTGGATAGATGGAGGAAGTGGAGGAGAGGTTTTGGAAATAGGGATTTTGGGAGGTGGGAGAGGGAGACATAGAGAATTTCAGGATTTTGCAATTGGGGAAATAGGGAATTTGGGGATTTGGAAAGTGGGATGTAGGGAGTTGGGGAAATAGGGAATTTCGGGGTTTGGGAATTGGGAAAATAAGGAATTTGGGGATTTTGGAATTGGAGAAATTGGGGATTCGCAGATGTGGGAATTGGGGAACTAGGGAATTTGGGGATTTTAGAATTGGGGAAATAGGGAATTTCGGGGTTTGGGAATTGGGGATATAGGGAATTTGGAGATTTTGGAATTGGGACATAGGGAAATTAGGGGATCTTGGAATTGGTGAGCTAGGGAATTTGGGGATTTTGGAATTGGTGAGCTATGGAATTTGGGAATTTTGGAATTGGTGAGTTAAGGAATTTGGGGGTTTTTGAATTGGGACATAGGGAATTTGGGGATTTTAGAATTGGGACATAGGGAATTTGGGGATCTTGGAATTGATGAGCTGGGGAACTTGGGAATTTTGGAATTGGTGAGCTAGGGAATTTGGGAATTTTGGAATTGGGGAAATAGAAAATTGAGAAAACTGAGAATTTGGAAGAAATGAAAATTGGGAAAATGGAGAATTTGGAAAATTGAAAATTGGAGAAAATGAAAATTGGGAAAATTGAGAATTTGGAAAACTGGAAATTGAAGAAAATGAAAATTGGGAAAATTCAGAATTTGGAAAATTGGAAATTGGAGAAAATGAAAATGGGGAAAATTGAGAATTTGGGAAATTGGAAATTAGAGAAAATGAAAATTAGGAAAATTAAGAATTTGGAAAATTGAAAATTGGAGAAAATGAAAATTGGGAAAATTGAGAATTTGGGAAATTGGAAATCGGAGAAAATGAGAATTGGGAAAATTGGAAATTAGAGAAAATGAAAATTGGGAAAATTGGAAATCGGAGAAAATGAGAATTGGAAAAATTGAGAATTTGGGAAATTGGAAATTAGAAAAAAAGAGAATTGGGAAAATTGAGAATTTGGAAAATTGGAAATTGGAGAAAATGAAAATGGGGAAAATTAAGAATTTGGAAAGTTGGAAAATAAAAAATTTATGAACATCACAATTAGTCCTAAACCTCTCAATTACCCAAATGAAACAGCTAAAATTTATAAATGAACAGACTCGAAACATCAAAACTCTAAAAACATGACAAACCTCCACCAGAATATTATTGTCGAAGCTTTCATTTCGCTGACGAACTCCAAAATTGATTACTATATCACGTATCGCGTTCCCGCAGCAATTCGAGAGCCCGAACCTCCATTTTATCCTCGTCGAAGCAGTTTCTAGGTCGATCGAGATTTCCCCGCAGTGTAATTGCCTGTTTTTTTTTTTTTTAAACCGACCGATAAAGCTCGACTTTGAACAACATCGAATGCTTTGATAATGAAATACTTGTTTCTCTTTTTCTCGTTTCGCGAGGAGGATGTTGAATTTCCGTTCCGAAAGGATCATTTCCGAGGTACGCGGGACAAGATAAGCTGATTACGACGGACGCCTACTATCGATGTGTTCGTTGGGCTTATTTGCCGGTAAAATTATGCCATGGAAACAATGGACAGGCATTTATATTAAGTTAAACAAACGAATCGTGGACGGTTCGTGTGCTTCCTTGTCTGTGGACTTAATTAATTCATTAGGCGAATCCTTCCGCGTACAACTGCGGATGACGCTTTCTGACTTGCACGATGTTATATATTTAGAGAATATATGGAGAAGAATATAACCGTAGTAGAAGATTTTAAGGAATTTAGTGAAAATATAGTGAAAAATGTGATTTTGTAGATAAGTACTGTGAATTTTTAGTATTTGTTTATGTAGTTTGTATAGAATGTAAATAGATTGGGAACTAAGGAATTTGGGGATTTTGAAATTGGGATATGGGGAATTTAGGGATTTGGAATTGAGGAGATAAGGAATTGGAAAAATTGAGAGTTTGGAAATTTGTTAAATAGGGACTTTGGGGATTTTGAAATTGTGGAACTAGGGAATTTGGGGATTTGGGAACTAAGGATATAGGGAATTTGGAAATTGGGATATAGAGAATTGGGAATTTGAAATTGAGGAGATAAGGAATTGGAAAAAATGAGAATTTGGAAATTTGTTAAATAGGGACTTTGGGGATTTTGGAATTGTGGAACTAGGGAATTTGGGGATTTTGGTATTAGGGAAATAGGGAATTTGGGGATTTGGGAATTAAGGATATAGGGAATTTGGAAATTGGGATATAGAGAATTGGGAATTAGGGAATTTGGGGATTTTGGAATTGGGGAAATAGATAATTGGGAACTAGGGAATTTGGGGAGTTTGGAATTTGAAAATTTGAAAACTTAGGAAATAAGGGATTTGGAAATTTGGGAAATAGGGAATTTGGGGACTTGGAAATTGGGGATATAGAGAATTGGAAAAATTGAGAATTTTGGATTTGGAGATTGGGATATAGAGAATTGGGAACTAGGGAATTTGGGGACTTTGGAATATGGGAACTAGGGAATTTGGGGATTTGGAAATTTAGGAAATACGAAATTTGGGGATTTGGAAATTTGAGAAATACAGAATTGGGATCTAGGGAATTTAGGGATTTGGAAATTTAGGAAATAAGAAATTTGGGGATTTAGAAAATTGGGGATTTGGAAATTTGAGAAATACAGAATTGGGATCTAGGGAATTTAGGGATTTGGAAAATAAGAAATTTGGGGATTTGGAAGTTTGGGAAATAGAGAATTGGAAACTAGGAAATTTTGGGACTTCAGAATTAGGGAACTAGGGAATTTGGAGACTTTAGAATTGGGGAACTAGGGAACTGGGCAATTTGGGAATTAAGAAAATGGGGAATTTGGAATTTTTGGAATAGGAGAAATAGGGAATTTGGGGATTTGGAAAGTGGAGAAATAGAGAATTGAGAAAATAGGGAAATTTGCAATTGGGAAGCTAGGGAATTTGGGGATTTTGGAATTGGTGAAATAGAGAATTAAGGAAATTGAGAGTAATTATCAAATTTGTAAATTTGATAATTAGAGTTTGGGGACTGGGAAATTGGGGAAATAGGAAATTTTTAAATTTTGAAACTAGGGAACTAGAGAAATTGGTGATTTTGGAATTAGGGAAATTGAAAATTTAGAATTTGGAAATTAGAAAATTTGATAAATAGAGTTTGATGACTTGAAAATTGGGGAAATAGGAAATTTTTAAATTTTAAAACTAGGGAACTAGAGAAATTGGTGATTTTGGAATTAGGGAAGTTGAAAATTTAGAATTTAGAAATTTGAAAATTTGATAAATAGAGTTTGGGGACTTATAAATTGTGAAATAAGGGAATTTTACAACTTTGAAACTAGTGTCCTAGGGAAATTGAGGATCTCGAAATTAGCTAAATAGAAAATTGAAAATTTCGAAATTTAATAACTAGGGAATCTGTCAATTCAGAAATTACACAAATCAAGAATTAAAAAACCTAAAAATTTGTAACTTGTCAAATACCAAATTCAAAAATTCAAAAATTCTAAAAATACACTTAAAATTGCAAAATAAACAACAATAAACACTTTCAAAAATTAAATTCCCTAAAAATTAACCTTAAACAATTAAAACCTTACATTTTTACAAAGACCCACATAAAATCATAAAGTCCCAAAAAAAAACGCACACCTGTCCCAAATGCAATATCACCTACCTGGAGCTTATTCACCTTAGCCGAATGGTTTCTTTGCGCAGAGTTGTTGTCCTTTCTCCGATCGTCTTTTTTTTCGAGGAACGTTCAAATGTGCCCTCCAAATCGGTCGGTGGACCGGTACTGACTGCGCGTTGCGCGACCAGAAACACCGTCCAGCGAGTCGCGGAGATGATCTCATCGTTTTTCTTTCTTCCAACACCCCCGTTTGATCTTTCTGCCATATGCACCGCTTCTCTTTACTCTTTACGAGCCAGACCCTGCGATGAATTACGCAACCAGCTTCCCGAGACTCGTGTCAGCACGAACACGCGCCTACAGCTTTTTTTTATTTCTTCAGACTGATTATTATCGCTCTACAATAACGTATTTTACGTTTCTGAAATCCGAGGGGCTATTCCATTTATTTTAGTAGGAAGTATAAGTTCGATTAATTTAATTCAATTATTGAGGGACTTCCATGGTGGTAAAATGTGGGTTTGGTTCAAAATATAATGTAGAATGGGTTTTTCTTTTTTGAAATAAAAAAAAAATGGGAACTGGTTGAAAATATTTTATGGTAGATTAGGTGCAGTTAGTATAAGAAATGATTAGTGGACTTTGAGAGTGGTAAAATGTATTAAATTTGGTTTTGGGTATGATGGAGTGGGAATTTTGAAAAATTGGGAGGGAGAAATTTGAGAATTTGTAGTTGAAGAAATTTGAGAATTTGAAAATTTTTAAATTTGGAGGTTTGAGAGTTGAAAAAATTGGAATTTGGAAATGCAGAAATTAGGATATTTGAGAGTTAAAAAATTTGGAATTAAGAAATGTGGAAATTGGGAGATTTGAGAATTCAAAAATTTAGAATTAGGAAATGTGGAAATTGGGAGATTTGAGAATTCAAAAAATTGGGATTTGAAAATGTGGAAATTAGGCAATTTGAGAATTCAAAAATTTGTAATTTAAAAATGTGGAAATTGGGAGATTTGAGAATTCAAAAATTTGGAATTAGGAAATGTAAAAATTGGAAGATTTGAGAATTCAAAAATTTGGAATTAGGAAATGTAAAAATTGGAAGATTTGAGAATTCAAAAATTTGGAATTAGGAAATGTAAAAATTGGAAGATTTGAGAATTCAAAAATTTGGAATTAGGAAATGTAAAAATTGGAAGATTTGAGAATTCAAAAATTTGGAATTAGGAAATGTAAAAATTGGAAGATTTGAGAATTCAAAAATTTGGAATTAGGAAATGTAAAAATTGGAAGATTTGAGAATTCAAAAATTTGGAATTAGGAAATGTAAAAATTGGAAGATTTGAGAATTCAAAAATTTGGAATTAGGAAATGTAAAAATTGGAAGATTTGAGAATTCAAAAATTTGGAATTAGGAAATGTAAAAATTGGAAGATTTGAGAATTCAAAAATTTGGAATTAGGAAATGTGGAAATTGGGAGATTTGAGAATTCAAAAATTTGGAATTAGGAAATGTGGAAATTGGGAGATTTGAGAATTCAAAAATTTGGAATTAGGAAATGTGGAAATTGGGAGATTTGAGAATTCAAAAATTTGGAATTAGGAAATGTGGAAATTGGGAGATTTGAGAATTCAAAAATTTGGAATTAGGAAATGTGGAAATTGGGAGATTTGAGAATTCAAAAATTTGGAATTAGGAAATGTGGAAATTGGGAGATTTGAGAATTCAAAAATTTGGAATTAGGAAATGTGGAAATTGGGAGATTTGAGAATTCAAAAATTTGGAATTAGGAAATGTGGAAATTGGGAGATTTGAGAATTCAAAAATTTGGAATTAGGAAATGTGGAAATTGGGAGATTTGAGAATTCAAAAATTTGGAATTAGGAAATGTGGAAATTGGGAGATTTGAGAATTCAAAAATTTGGAATTAGGAAATGTGGAAATTGGGAGACAAAATTTGTAATTTAAAAATGTGGAAATTGGGAGATTTGAGAATTTAAAAATGTAGAAATTGGAAGATTCAAGAATTCCAAAATTTGTAATTGTAGAAATTTGCCTGAAATCTTTAGGAATCCATAATTTAGTAATCAAACACAAAAAGTTAAAAATGAAATGCATAAAGGTTATCTAAGAATATAAAACATACTTCTTAAAAACATATCACATAATTATTAAATGATCCCTGGTCTTTATTGTTGTATAATCTACATTCTCCCCTGTGTTTTAATGAAAACTAAAGAACATTGAATAAACATAAAAACATATTAAATCACATAATACAATTTTGGTAATTAAAACTACAAAAGTGTACTCACAATTTATCAGCTGCAATCAGCTAAAAACCTTGAAAGAAATGGTAAACATTTGAATAATAAATAAAGAAATATTAATAGGATTTGGTAGTAAGGTAGGTATATTATACTAAATGCAAAAATGTTACAATACATTTGATGTTTGTTTTTGTTTCTTTTTTCCTCTCATTTTCCTTTAACATTGTTCTTTTTCATTTTTGTCGTAGTAACGTTGTTTGACCATTGGTTGTACACACAAATTGGCCCGAATAGACCGAAATAAAAATGTATACTACAAAAATTCACAACTTATTATTCGCCATCCTCTAATTATATTCCTTTATAATTATTTTATCTTCCTTCGTTCATTTATATTTATCTTTGTATTATTATTATTATTATTATTAATATTATTATTAATATTATCATTATTAATAATAGTCGCTTAAAAACAAAAACATTCACACTAAAAATTTGCAGAGCTTTCGTTCAAATATAAAGAGATGATCCCGCGTCTGTACGTGGCTTCTGAACACTTTCTTTTTCTTTATTTATTCATTTATATTTTTGCATTAAAAATGCTGTGACTATCGAAACGAATCTACTTAAAAACTGTATATACATCTCGGAGATTTTCTTACAATGTTAAAATTAAAGTGCTGCAGTATGCTCGCATGACATAAACCATATGATGCCACAGTGGATCAACAACTTACTGACATACTGATTTATTATTGTCATAATTCTCAACCTATCTAATTTTACTACTCAATAATTTTGTTAACTTAATTTCACTACACATAATTTAATACTCAAACTTTAAACATTATGCCAAGCTTACATTTGTAGACCTCAATAAAAACTAGCACTAAATCAGTTACAAAATATTAAAAACATGCAGTACATTTTCTAATATAACCTAATACAATTTTCTAATATAATCTAATACAGTATAAATTGTTTTATTAAAACAAAGTGATGGAATATGACAATACTTTGTTGACCCACAGTGTAAGCGACCCGGTGCATGGATATACAATATAAAATTTGTACAATTGAAATTACATAGACTGACCCACGCATTGGCAAAATGTAATGAGAATGAACAGTACAAAGTCAAGAAGTTTGACAGCACTCTAATCGCTCGGTATTAGAAATAATTCAGCCACCTAACTACGCGAAATTGCCTCTTTATTTATGGCCAAGATGAAGCAGCGTCGTCGCGTTAATAAACAGCGAATCAGCGAAGCTTTGAACAAATGTGTGCCTTGAAAAAAGGGGTCTTCTGTGTTCGAGGTAATCGGAACAAGGGCCAAGTGTTCGATGACGACCCTGCTGCATCCGGGACACGATCTGTGTAACGCATTCGATTACAAACTATTGAGGATGTTTAATGAAAACTACGTAACAATTTAATGGATCAATAAGAAACGTAAATAATTACTTTTCACATGTTCTCAGCCTTAATGTCGTAGCGTTTTGCGGTTTAGTCGCTGTGCACTTAAGTTCCTGAATTACAGAGTTGCTTTCATTCATCCCCTGTCTTTTCTTTCTTTTTGTCGGTGCCAACACGGTCAATTTCCATGCGTTTGACGAGATGGCACGTGATATTATGCGCAACGACCGTTTCGCGATGTTTCTTCTCTGCCGGTGTACAGCGTAGTCTCGATATATGGCACTCTTTGATGCTAAAGAAACTTCGAATTTGTGTGAAATAAATTTCCAAAGTTTCTGCTTGAAGATTTAGAACGTTAAGGCCACATACCAAGCCGCTGTACATCAGTTCAACTTCCAATCAGTCAATTACATTTAGGACAATTTCGAAAGTAGAAGCATCGCAGAACTCGTGTCGCTTTCTGCAGAAAAGTCTCCTGGTGTTCTTTCTCTGAAAACACTACCACCTTAATTAATACATGATATTATTGACATGAATTAAGTTTAATATCTTCATACAAACACTTATCGTACCTATTTATGTATGCACAATAGTTACAAGAATAACACCAGTTTCAATACACTTTGCAGAAAGACTATTTTAGTCTTTGAAGAGTGCACGAGTTCTGCGACCATCGAATACTTATCGAGCTTTTATTGGAATTTTAAAGACAGTAATTTGCTCTAAGGTTAAAAAATGATGCTTAAAGTAAATCGGTGAGGGATAAATAAGAGGGAAAGAAAGCGACAGCCAAATTGCACGGAAATACGCGAATGCAGAAGAGGATAAAATCAAACGAAAGAAAAAGTCAGCAGATGGAAACGAAAATAGAGCATTAAGCGACACTTGCGCAAATGAATTAGGAAACGGCGAGACCAGCTGCAGTCTAAGAAATGTCCCATTACCAATCGATACCGGTCGATTGATAATCGGCCATGCTTCGTGAGAAAAATCGGCTGTCTTTTTGTATGCGACCAGAGAACAGCCACAGCTTTTTTACTCCTTTAACCCAACATCGACCAACTACCACCTATAAACATTATTGCCGACTTTTTCTACGTGTAAGGTGGAACGTTTAATCGGCAGTCAATGAACATTAACTCGAGAGCATATGAAATGTGCACGGCGATACTTTTGTTTGTGAAACACAACGGTTCGTATCCTCTCGTTTTAATTTCGTTTTTTAGTTTGGCTTATTTATACGACAGCGGAAATTCGTACCGCCGGTGTCTCCTTACTGCGATCGGAAAAACAAAAAAGAACTAAAAGAGCGACGTATGGTTTTCTTTTTTTTCGGTGTCGTTCATCCGACAAAGAACAAAACTGTTTCTGGTTCGACGTGGTGTGCGCAAGCGCTTCTGTCCTTTCCTCCGTCCCTTTTTATTCAGTTCCAGTTTATATCGTTTGCACTTCATCACAACTTGATCATTTTTGCTTCTTGGGCTTTCGGGAGACGAAACACAACTGCATTTTTAACGAGATTATCACGCGCCGCTCTGTTCTGTGTGTACATGTGTGTGTGAGTGAACATATTTTTTTGTATTCTCATCGTAAGGTTGCCTGACGTTGATGTATGAAGGGCGAACTCGCGGTGTTTCGTTCATCGAATATCCAACGGATCCGGTCGAACGTTCAATGAAATTATTTTACTATATTTATTACTCTTATTCGCGAGCTCGATAAACCTAGCTTAAATGCGATAACCCGATTATCCGTTCGTCGAGTTCGTGTTTCATACAATTTGAGCTGCACCATCTACAGTTGTTTCTTAACGAGAACAATGCAAGCGATGTTTAAGCGTAATGTGAGATAGTCCTGGGTTTTTGAGTCTGGAAATGAGGATGGTAGTTATATACCGATGACTTGTTCAAGAAGAAAGAAACTGGAGATGCCTTAAACGTTGGTTGAAGTATTAGCGGCGATTTTGGTAGCTTGGGTTGCTTGGATTACCGGGTTGTCGCATTCCACCGCCACCCCTTGCGCCGTCACCGCCACGTGAAAATCCTCCGCGTCCACCTCTTGTTCCGTGTTGACCGCCTCTCATCACGCCTCCTGGACCACCTAAAGTCAGTTCAATCGCAAAACTTGGAATAACAGTACAGCAACGCAATAGAATAAATTACCCACCTGGACCTCGTTGCTGTTGCTGCTGTTGTTGGCCTCCCATGGCTCTCATGTTTCCATCGTTAGAATTCAACCGTCCACCGCTGCCGTCCATCGACATTCTAGGCCTGACCTTCTTCTCTTCCACGTTCAGTTTTTGCCCATTTTCAGCAGGGTAATAAATCGGCTAAAAAGGAACGCGAAGGTGAATCGTTTTTCTTGAGTTCAGAGAAAGAATTATACAAACGACACTAACCAAATTCTGCAACACCTTGTTGACAACTTGCTGGTCCTCGAAAGTGATGAATCCGTAGTTAGGCACTTTTCCAGTATTGTTTCCTTGTGCCCCTTTGCACCTGTCATTCGATTTACTGTGTATACGTAGCTCTACTACCCTACCGTAAGATTCAAACACTTGGCGTAAATCATCTTCAGACGCATTGTGCGGCAAGTTTCCAAGGAATAGTTGATGAGCATCACTGTACTGACTTTGCCTCGTACCACGGCGGTCACCATCTACAGAATTTATCGTTTCGATTAGCAATGTAATATAAAATAAAACTCTGAGAAATGAACTTCTACTGCTGTCACTAATACCTTACAGCTAACTTCTTTACCTCGTTGTACTGCTCCCCCTCTCGGAGCTCGTTGTTGCTGATGCTGTTGCTGCTGTGGTTGCTGGTTTCCAACTCTGTGAGTCTGTTGCTGAGGCGTGGAAACATTCGTTGACGTAGAAAGCGCGGGTCCACTGCTGGTCGGATGTAACGGTGACCTGTCATCTAATCGCAAGTTCGTCATCGGTGGCTGAAAATGAAATGAATATATTTACCGTTTTAATCTCGTATGGATATGTTGAAATTAATCAGGATTTGCCTGCTGAAAACCAACATTGCAATTATAAAATATATACCGGTGACATAGACAACTTGGGGGCTTGAGGACTAGTTGCGCCGGTGGTACTGGGGAAGGATTTCACAAGATTGGCGTACGTTTTCGGTCCGCTACTGGTCACACTTGTGTTCGACACTTGATGTTCTGGTTCGGATTCTTGTGCAGAAGCAGTGAACGTTTCAGCCTCGGGTTGTTCGCGAGTTTCATTCGTTTGAGGTTGTGGTTCGCTTTCCGCTGGTTGTTGCGGTTCAGTTGAAGTGTCTAATTCTGCTTCTTGCACAAATTCCGTTTGCGATGTGGACTCAGTTATGTACTGATGCTGTTGCGCAGGTGGTGGTGGTGGAGGCTGTTGCTGTTGTTGCTGCTGCTGCTGCTGTTGGGGTTGCTGATTAATCAGTGGCGTTTCTTCGTGGACTGATCCATTCAAAACCTGCTGCATTACAGGATGTACCTGTAATGGTAATCTTGCTTAAGACAGATTCTTAATGACATTGTCTCATTTATAACACTAAACTAACATGGGACTGCTGTGGCGGTGGAGCATAATACATTTGTTGTTGCTGTTGAAGTACAGATGGCTGTGCAGGAATAAGCGGCGGCTGAGTTTGTGGTTCCGTCGTTGCAGCTGGTGCTGTAAGCTGCTGTCCCCGATTTTGATGTTCCTCTTCCTCTGCTTCGGAACGTACTCCCTCTTCTCCTTCTCTCTCAACTGATTCACCTACACCTCCTTCTACACCACCTACATCCGTTTCCTCCTCGTCAGGAAAGATCAAATCTTGGTAGCGGAATATATCGTTATGTACATAATACGTTTTTGGCGCTTGTATAGCCAACACGAACGTTTGCGTAAAACGACGCATCGGCTGCCCCGCATTAGACAGTTCTCCTGACACCTGTGGATAATTAAATTGTTAATAGTATTTTTGGAGTATTAGCATATGTATCATTGTGGCCATATCTTTACTTACTTGTACTACAACACCATTCTCAAGAGTAAGTTGCGAATCAACTTGACTTATCTTTGCATGGCAATCACGAAAGTTCAGTTGTTGAATTTTTTGGTGTATTTGTTTTTGCCCAATAGCAGGAGTTGATTCTCTATTAGAATCTAATCCTCCATGCACAAAGGAAGAATGTTGATTGTAGAACCTGCAACATTATTTGGCACAAATTAAACGACTGATAACAACTTATGTGTTTGATTAGTGAATAATTTCAATTACCTATGAAGATGCGCAGGTGCTTGATTAAGTAAAGTGTAATACTGTCGGACAAATTCACGACCGACATTTTGTGGAGAAGGGGATGCCTCCATGACCATTTTCTTACTCCTAACGTCTAAAATAATACTTTGCTTAAACAGCAATGGAAGGTTCGCTAGGTAACTGTTAAAATTAGAATGTTAAACGTCTGTAACAAACAAAATACTTACAATTTATATAATCGTCATGTACTATTCTCTTTTTCTTATCCAAACATTACAGCGTAAAAATACAATTCTACAAAAGACAATTATACATATTCAGAGTAATTTATACTTGTCGCATACGCTTTAAAGGAGAGAAAAAATACATAACGTGACTAAAGACTACGTCATTATGTGCTTTATTACATAAATAAAATGTATACAAGAAATAAATGCGCAATATAAATGAGATAAAAACTATAGATATGCACATCAATCAAAGTGGCTATCTGTGGCTATCACATGAGAATGATGCGCTCGAAAGTAAAGCTTTCTAGCAGCAACTATTTTTCCAAAATGAATTTGTAATTGCATACATGCGAACGGTAAACACGATAATATCGAAATGCGTGTTCGAACGTATAATCTCGATAATTCTGCACGAAACTATAATAAGCTGCGCGGACACGCGCGTTTTGAAGGAACATGTGCTCGCGCTGGTCTAAAATTCGCAAGAATTGTCGCGAAACGATCGCACGAAAACAAAAAACTTGTCCATCATCTTTAAGCTCGTGCGCTATATGATCAAGAGCGAGGTCGAGGGCAAGAGGGCCGTCCGGTTGTACGAGCAAGCATGGCGATATTTCTTCATCTCAGAAACGGTAACGCTAAGCCTCAAAAGCACGAAATTTTAGCGGGATACTTTGGACAAATATCGTTCAAAATTATTCAATGAATTAGACGATAATCTACAAACGATTGATATCGTTAAATTGTTCACGATTTAACCGAACTTGTTCGTAATATTGCATCGTGCTTGCTTTGCTGATTCGCTATGAGGTCTCCTCTATGAGAAGTCGAATGAAAGAACATCGGCAAAGCCGATCTTATGGTGTTGTACACTCACCCGATGGAATCACTAATACGCGACACAACCCAATGCTTTTTCCCGATCAAACGAGATGCTGTGATGAAAACAAAAAGTTTGTACGAGCAACAACAGTTCACAATAATGTTAATTATAAAAACAGTTCAATGTATGCTCCAAGCACCTTGATGTCAGCACATGCAGCGGAACCTGCACAAAAGCACCGGTCGCGTGTAGACGAGCGACTCTAACGGGATTTTTACATCAACCTTTTGCGGATCTTATGGAAACTACACCGAAATTGGTATTTGTTTTGTCCCTAGAATATTTGCTAGGAATATTTCTTCCTACACTATTCCTTGCAAGATGGAGTTGTGTAAGTTGAAAACTGAAAGAAAGACCACGTTTAGATGTCTTTTACGCAGATCTATTGTGATTGGTTTTAAGACGCTTTCGTAATTAAAAATAATGCGCATGTTCGTCACAACATTTCTGTTTCTGAGTCTGTATATTTAGTGACCTTTTATTTAGTATACTTTCTTACGTGACTTTTTTCTTGCATTCATATATTTTTTGTTCACTATGTATATGATCATTAAATAAAAAGTAGACATTAGATTGGCGTCACACATATATTGCGGAGTCTTTTGATCTGTCGAGATGCGCAGAATTGGTACGGTTCTCTCTTGGAATGAAATCTAATCAAACATCATATCTTCCATATTATATAACCTTAAAAGTGATAAGGGAATTTCATAAGACGGTAGAAATTTATGTATACTTTATACTATGTAGTAATTATATACAATTAGTAATAGTATAACAGTACTTTGAGTGCTTAATTTTTTAGTTGTGTTAATTGTTTTAATATTCTTGAAACAGAATACCATTCTAACAACATGCAATAAAAAGATATATATGTATATGTACTTATAGGTCTTATTTTTACATTAAATTTTTGTACTCAATCTTTGAATAAATTATTTCTATTGAAAAATTAAGTTCGTACATACATTGGGTATAAAATGTACATAATGTAATACTCACAATGTAGACAGTAAATCTTTAATTTTATAAACATAGTATACAAAATTTTGTTTCATATTTCTGTATATAAATTAGTAAATAATAAAATTGTGGTCAATAAATGATATAATACATAAAAAATTATCTAAAAAATTGAATTTCAAGAATATGCATTCCCTTCTAATATAAGTTTGAAACAATTTTCAATTACACGCTAAGAATTAATTTTATACAATTTAAATTTGTGAAATTAAGAAAAGACAAATAGTTTTGTCTAATTTTTTTTTAATATAATACTTTTGTGACATAGAACAGTGTTGAATTTGAGAAAAATACAATATTTTCTTTTACTTTTAAAAACCTTATTATGATGTTCTCCGCCTAGAATGAAATTGTTGGTATATAAATATAATGTACAAGTGTTATTTGTTGAGTGTAGAGTAAAAACTGAAGGAATACTTAGCTCGGTGCTCGTTATCGTGATAGAATCGGCAAAATATTGTTTTTCGTAATACAAATTCACTAAATCTTCGTGTCAGTCTTATTTAAATCTAATGTATAGATATTTATCGCTATATTTTAAAGAAATATCGTGTACATATCATTTTCCAAAAAGAAAAAGAATTAAATTATTAAGGATCGGTTAACACAAATATAAACATACATGGGATATTATTATGTACACAAAATGAATTTATTTTATCCTATTTCTCTTACCAATAAGGAAGCAATAATCTTTTTACCTCATTTTCATACCTCACACAATCATTATAAACAACTTGGTACTTCTCATTTTTCTCTTTTTTCTTTTTTGTCTTATAACGTAGCCGTGTAAAAAGTACATTGCCTGCTTACTTCTCTACAGTGGGTTTCTCATCTTATTAAGTTTAGTTTTATAGACAAATTAAAATAATCTTATTGTTAAAAATAGGGACGAAGTTGTTCCCCAACAGTCCCAAAATGGTGAATAAGAAACTTGATTCTTCCTAATATATCTGTATTTAAATTATTTCCTATCATCTTTTGCTTTCCCATTTGCACAAAAATATTGCGTTACAATGTTTCATCGCAAGGCGTAACATCGGTTTATTCATCCATACGTTTGGAAAATTGACATTGCGCTACATTCGTATTGTGTCAGCACACGTTTATTATTTTTCTTTGCAAACGTACTACGATACGATCCTGCCTCACGCTGAACGACTGAACGTACCATTAGTAAAAAAATTAATGATAAATAAGATGAAGTGAAAAGTAAGACCAATGAAAAATATGAAGTATTTTTCGCTTTGTACAAAAGGGTAAACGAGAGATGGAAGAAAGCATTGTGTACCTATCTTGTATGTATGTGTGTACCAACAATCATATGTATATCTATATATGTATGTATACGCGGTACAGACATATATACACACACACACACATGTTCATTTTTTTCTTTTTTCTTGTCCTTGATAATACAGATGTATTGCTAGACGCAAAATGTGAAGCTATTACGATTTTTGTCGTGACTCCTGATGATTCATTTTATTTTGCGGCAGTAGTCTGCGTTGTTGAAAATCTGGCTGAAGGTGGCGTTGTTTAATGGAATGATGATTTAACGAGTTATGAGATTTGTTGTAAGACAGGAAACCTGAAAAAAGAAAAATATACATTCAATCATCTTCCGTAACAATATTTATATAAAACAGGTCGACTACATATTTTTTTCATAACGATTTAAATAACCACCAGAAAGAATTAGTTGTTATTGCATATATGACATTTTGGAAAAGGAAAAGAAAGGTTCAGATAGTTACACTGAAATCTGGATGTATGGCTCTGATTTTTCTTCAGAAAGATTCATGAAAACTAGCCAGAATTAAAAAATTAAATATTTTGAATTTTCAAAATTCAAAATATTTAATTTTCTGGAGACTGACTAGTTAAACACTAGATAGTAATGGCCATATAGCGAGACTCCACTGTATAGATGTCAGGAAAGCTATGATGACTCACCAGCGGTTACAATGCGTATTGCATTGCGGTCGCAATGAATGATTTCCATTAATAGGGTTGGTGCCTTTGGTTCTGACGACCACCTCCCCTCTGCTTTCCGCCGTAGCCTGAGCCTCCTGAAACAATACCCATGACATACGTTAGTCCAATAACTTAGGATATTCCCCCTCGCCTTCCCGCCATTCTTTCTTTTTCTTTTCAAAGAAATTACAACAGATTCATCGTAAAGTATTCTACTTATAAAAATCGCACGCACACTTCTATCAGTAAACAAATTAAAGTATGAAATAATATAAAGACTAACGTAATGGCTATAAAACTATGAAGAATCTACATAGAGGCTACAGGCTAAGGTAGTAAGCTGCAGGCTGCGTTCTGAGTCATACTCTCCTCCTTTTTCTCCTTATACATTTCTGGAATCTGGAATATGTTTCTGAAATGGGATCCCAATTTACTGATGTATTGAATACATTGTTGCAGAAACCTTCCAAACTGCTTAAATCTTATTAAAATTTCTAGTGTAATCTTATATTAATATTTCTTAAATACTATCATTACAGTATGGCTTGAAATAGTACTACTAATACAATTATCAGTAAATTCAATTATTTCTACCAAATAACCAGAAATGTTTAAGGCTAAGGATGTACATAAATGAAATAAAGATGAAAATGGATCAAGTGGTACGGAATATCATTCTCGACTTTTAATATGTTATTTATAACATGTATCATATTTTATATAAATAATTTTAACAAAATAAAAGTCGATGATTTATAACATGTGTACTAGGTAAAAAGTAACACTGTTTTCTTTAACCAAACTATCAAAATATCTGAAGAATTGTAAGTTTTTTTGAAAAGTTATAAATACAGTAACACACTTAAAATAAATGTAGTTGTTAAAACTTCATCAAACCTTTATCTGGTTAAAGAAAACGTACAACCAAGATAAATTTTATTCATATATTAATATTATTAGAAAAAATATCATTTTTTTCTTCACTTAATGCATACCAATAAGCTGAAAATTCTTATTAGCATGGTATCAATGAATTCTGTCCAAACGTGCACGTACACACAAGAGTTAGAAAAAAAGAGAAGATGAGGATAAAGGATTAAAACAAATGATTGGTGGGATTAAAAGTAATGAGGTGTGCGGGATCCACATCATGAGGTCAGAAAACTTCGGGTAAGATCGCTGTATGACTCAGGATCCTGAAATTGAATTGAAAAAGTTGGAGAGATGAAATTTTAAACTGTGTTAGAGAATTAACGTTTTAAAAAATGAGATTAAAGAACCAATCCATAATTCATAAGTTATGTATATACACATATTTATTATGCATAACTTATGATTAATAAATTGATTCTAATTTTACCCAAAGTTTTCGAAATTCGGAACGATCCGCACACCCCTAGTAATGAGCGATGAACAGAAATAATCGATGAAGTGAATGTGAATTTTGAAGTCAATATGCTAACAAGGTAGAATATGTTCGGGAAAATATAAAACAATAGAGAAGGAACGCTAATGCGTACCTTTACCGCGTGCACCACCGCGCCCACCACTGTAGCCACCATCGTAACTACCACCGCCATAGCCATAGCCGTCTGCGTTTCATGGAACACACGGTATAAGAGACAAATGGGGTAAGTATTAACATGAACCGGCGACTATACTTTTAATTTCTATAGTACAATATATATACGATAATAATACAAATTATCGCCGGCACATAAGCACATCATTTATATGACTATCAAAATCTTAATTTGATTCTCAAATCTTTATGTCAAGTGCAGTTATAATACATCAAGTCTTTGTCATATATATTTTTACATCATTTAACGACAATAGAAAATCTGATCTTCCAAAGGGTTCATTGTTTTCATATTTAATATGCAATACAAGTGCAGAGGCTGTTCAGAAAATTGACTCATGTTTTAATATACTACAATTGGCTTTAGTAAAACATTAATACAGTGTAATATCTCCCTATATGACTCAAGGTCACCCACCCCTCTAATTTTGAAATGGACAAATTTGGAAATTTGTGAACTGGGAAGTGTTCAAAATTTTTAGACTAAAAACTGGGGTAACATGGATAGGTCCTATTCCAAAATTGTATCTTCCGACCATATAGCGAGATTTCACTGTAATACAAAATATCATGCGCTTAAATCATTCAATTACGACGGAAAAGTTCAGTATAAATGTCCCAGGAAAGAGATAGTGTGCAATACCGACACTTAAAATGAATAAACGTACAATTTGCTATTGTGTCTAATATGTAGCAAATGAAGTAGTTTCATAAAATGGATCTTGTATGATTAATGATGAGAACAGAAGCTATCGAACGTTTTGTTCCTTCGTTCTGAAATAATAATCGCGTTGACGGCCAATAAAAGATTTAACAAAAAGGAAATTAATGAAACACGAATATTGCAGATATTGTTGACTGAATGTGTTAATTGTTCATGAATGAAATGATTACGTGAAATGTGGAAATATGTGACACATGCAAATCAGGAGACGTGGCAGGATTTGAAAGCAAGGATTCAAGGCTCAGTATACTATTTCATACGACATCATCCTGCGTAGATACGGTTTTCTCCATAGATAACTGTACAGTGATTGTATGTGTTTGAAACAGCTTTCAGGATCCACAGGAAAAACAGAAGCTATAAAAATCAATTTATTCCACAGATTCACTGATCAGTGAACACATGAAATATTTATTTCATACAATGAATTATTCATTGTATTAAAATTAGACTAACATTTTCTACGCACAAACTTGTAGAAATTTAAGCAACAAAAAAGTTTTTTTTCTTCACACAATCACTGTAACATATGATATCCTGCTTTTCTGAACATACTATTCGTTCATGAGTATACATATATATAAATAATTATTATGTATATATATGTACATTTACCAGCTAAAAATTAACAGGACATCAACAAATATAACTTAGAACACTGTTGGGATCAGTAAGTTAGTTGTTCGCAACTCAAAAACAGCCAACCCTCTGGAAGTAGGGATTCACTTTTCGGATTATGTTTAATATACTTAACCGTTTGTCCAGTAGGACAAAATCGTGTAATAACAATCTTAAACACAACATAATCCGAACGTAGTTCCTACATATCTGAGCAGCTGGTTTACTTCAATAATTTAAAAATATTTACCATGTTATTTGATTCTAAATGTCTTATGTAACTAATGAATGTAAACGTACTTACATAAATAAAATTACTGCTGATTTGCCAGCAAACCAGCGCTCATTTTATAATAATATCAAGTATAATATAATATTCTTTTATAATATCACTATCACTAGCACTACTGAAGATATGAAAGTGTTAAAAATAAAATACTGTTTGAAGGGACTTGACGTCTTGCACTTTTGGCAACATGTACACTATTCTAAAATACGTAATTTATGACACCTTTCATATCTTCAACAGTGATGGAGATATTGAAGATGGTTATCATAAACGGGACACGTAATACCGATTTAGTACTTCATGTAGGCAGACGATTTGAAATCATGTAATAAAAATTAAGATTCAACAAATTTATACAGGATGTATTCTCTAAATTTTAAAATACAAAGTCATATAAGTCATTGAATCTGTCTTAACACCACAACTCTAATGTTCAAAAGTTAAAACTAAAATTAATTTTAATAGCCACATCCTGTAATAACAAATCTGTGATTCTAAAATTTTGCACAACTCCATAATCACTATGTTAATAATAATATAATAATAATAATAAAAAAAACGTATATAGAAAGAACGATTATAGTGAATATAAGAGTAATAATTTAAAAATTACGTTCGTCTACCGAATACACTGGGACGGTTCACAGCTGACTATTATCCGCTGTTGATTATTGTAAAGAACTGAATTGTTCAAAATAATCGTACACAGCGACAAGCTTGTGTAAGTCCTTTTAGTCATAATCAGTAAAATTACCGTATCCACTGTAGTCGTAACCACCATAGCCGCCGTACCCACCGCCGTAATAATCGTAGCCTCCTCCGTATCCGTCATAGCCACCGCCATAACCGCCTTGGCCGTAACCCCCGCCGTAGCCACCTCCGTATCCACCTTGGCCCCAACCACCTTGACCGCCAAAACCGCGTCCTCTACCTCCCCTTCCGCCACGGCCGCCGCGTCCGCCAGCTCCACCCCGCATTCCTCCCATTCCGTCTGGCTTAGGTGTCGCCTTCTTCACGTCGACCTATACAGACATTTCAATTGCCTCGTTACATAAACTGTCCATGATATTGATCTTCATTATCTACTACGCTCCTCTACGTACCTCTTTGCCGTTGATTGTTTGCTTTGGAGTTTTTAATAATTCGTTTACTACTTGTTCAGATTCAAAAGTGATAAAGCAGAACCCTTTCCTCTGGTTCTTTGTCTTGTCAAATGGCATTTCTACGTCCACAATCTGAAACAGGCGTTTGATTTTATTGTATCGTTCAAGTAAACACTCGAGAAATGAAGTAACAGTTGATGTACTTACTGTTCCAAATTGAGAGAAGAAATTTTTGATATCTTCGTCCGATAACTCTGTTGAAAGACCACCAACAAATATTTTTCCATGTCTAGCTTTCGCCTTCTTTGGGTCGACTTTTTTACCGTTAATTATGTGATCATTAGCTGACATGATCTAAAATAAAATAACTTGTTAGTTACAGAAATTTTAAGACTGTAAAAATTTTGTTTGAAATTATATCTCAGGAGTGGAATATCGTCATATAAACTCGGTAGCAGAACTGAAATAAGGTTTCATCACGTTGAATTTTTTTTACGTAAGATAAAATATATTTATGAATTACTTTACCTTGTCTAGAGATTCGGCTTTTGCAAAAACAATGAAAGCGAATCCTCGTGACCTTCCGGTATTGGGATCCGTTTTAACATTGATGCTTTCGATATCTCCATATGTGCCAAAGTGATCTCTGAGTTCCTCTGAAAATTTAACACTTAATTTAGGAAACTATAATATTTCTTAATAAATTTAATTTCAAGTGAAAAGAACAATCAGTTGTAAACAATTTAGTCTCATCTGACGTACGTCATCTGAAGGTGTCCTAAGTAAAAAATCATCATGCTGTTTGTGTATGTAAGATTAGTTTGTTATGAAGCCAAGAAATACTCACTGTCTGTGGTTTCCCAGCTTAAGCCACCAACAAACAATTTCCTGCAAAAAATAAAAATAAAATATTGAATCGCTGTCTCGAAAATATTTTTAGTAGCAATTCTATATGGCATGCATTAATTAAAAAATAAGATAAATTGAACGTACCTATCATTCAAAGAATCCTGATTACCACCAGTTGACCTGCAAAGCAATGTAATGAAATTTATTATAAGGGTCTTTGAAATTAATATTGATTTTAAGGACTAAGGTTGAAGTAAAAAATTAAGTTCTGTTATAAATAATTTCCATTTATGTTTAAAAAAAGGAGTTTGACTTGACCCCTGGAAAAATTAGAATCAGAGTTAAAATATTAAAATCTAATATTGACAATGTACAAGAAATGCAAGAGACCAGTAATATATTATTTGGAAAAGGGGCACTGGATAAAATTTTTAGACATTTTGGTAAGGAACTTTATTTAGCAGGTTAATGTACGTAATTTATTATATACTTCATATTTATATAAACATAAATTATACTCATATATAAATGTATTCTATGATCGATTAAGTGACCTACATTAATGTTTACTTGAAAATTTGGAAGAATATTTTTGTAATAATAATATTATCTTAATTTGATAGTTACAGTTATTAATAAGACCATTAAAATACCATTCCTAGAATAAATGAACTCACTGATATAATATCTTATTGTATGAAAGGTTGTATGTCTGTCCTTAATAAAAAACAGGATTACAATATAACCATGAGAAGACTGCTTTGCACACCACATAGACCTTGATTTCAACTTCAAATAAATGTGCTTGTCAACAAAAAATTAAAGGAAAAACTTGGAAAAAAGTAGATATATATATATATAAAAATTAACGCATTGAAAAGAGCAAAGTGTATTTTTCACGATGTTCACATGTGAACTCGAACAATAGTTACAACTCCAGTTGACATACAGCTGCTCCTAAAGGAAACAAGATTTAACTTTTCCAAGTTGAACTCTGACTGCTGATTGGCCCAAAGAATTGACATATGGTAGACTGACTGCAACTCTATTAAAAAAGCTAAAAAAATTGTTTCCACATTACAAGTTAATGATGGTCACTTCTTGATATTTTGTTTGAAAAATATCTATTACGCACACAATATTTTATATTTATTTCTACGTATGTTTATATATATTATTTCTCTCTCTTTGTTTATTCATCAGCAAAATATTATTATTGTTTCAAGTCCTGATAATACTTTTCAGCCTTTTCATGTACAAATACAACGAGCTGCAATATTTTTCATTTTTCTGGCAGTGTGACGATAGTTATCTGTACTTAGATTCGATCATTTCATATATCATCTAGGGCTGGTGATAAATACCGTAGGCACCAGTCACTCGCCGGTAATCAGTTGTTGGTCGGGTCACGGTTAGCCGGTTGCGAGCCGCCCGCCATAATCGCACTGGGTCGTTTGCCACCTGCAGATCAAGCCACATAAACTGGGTTAATGGCATTCCGACCTATCAGAGTTTTTCGCATTGGCCCTAGTGACTCTGTGCTTTGATCACGCCCAAACAGCATTGACATCTGATCAGAAATTACTCTACGCGTGACCCAGCAGGCAAGTGTGTGTCTGTGCGAGACTTATTGATCTGACGTAATTGACTCGATTTCCAGTGCTTGTGTCGTGACGAAACATGACGGACTTGAACTTGACGTAGACTTCTCACAATAATTCAGACTCAGAAGTCAATCATAAGGCTTCACGGTTCAGTTCACAGATCCCAGGTAAGCGTACATATTGTCAATCGTAAACAATTGACTAACCAGAATTCTGCTGCAATGAATCAACGAGGAAGACTCGGCTGGCCAAAAATGCATTTCAAAGTTTATGCTCTATAAAAATATTACAATTATTATTTGTGCAACGTGTAGAAATCTTTATCATTGATGAAAATCACAATTCTCTTTTTACCAAGTACAAAACTAGAATAGAATTAACTAGGAAGGAGAGCAGAAAATAAGGAGTTTACACAAAAATTACAAAATTTTTAAACGGATAAACGTATACCTCGCAACAACAGCACATATAAAGTTATAACTAATACTTATTATTCTTATACGTATAGTTAGCTTATCTTAATTTTGCAATAAACAACATGCAATAATTATCTTTATTCTCTCAGCTGTATAGACTAGCCTAATAGATATCCGAATACCAGGCTTTCAGTTGTTTACTTTTGTTACTTCGTGCATAGATATCACGTCCTTCTAATACGCACCTATGTATTTTCATAATAGGTAAGAGGAAGCATACCTCCAAATTCCAATTGGATCTCTCGTATCATTAATCGTACAAAAAAATCACATTATATACGATGTTATATCAGCTTTCAATATATAACAATATAAATACCACGTTGAATTTTTCATAAATTTGAAGGTTACATCTTCTTTCCCAATATCGTTCCAAATACTTCTACAAGTTACAATTTAAGATAGCTTACCCTTTTTGCAAAAACACCCCAAACTATGTTAGAGTTTGTGACAATCCAAAGCTGTAGGAGTACTAAGAAAAAAAAGTCGAATCCCTTCGGTATCGAACCCAAATTGCTGTGATGATAAAACAAGAGAACGAATGTATATTGCGATATTACAGAATTATTTACATAAACTGTGTTCGTACATTAACATTCTACATCTAAACTCGTTGGTAGGCAATTCGTCCAGCTCGAGATCTCGTTACGCTGAAAAGGGGGGAAAGGCAAGGTGCTGCGCGCCACCAGCCACCAAAAATTCTTACAATCTATGAAATATTTCTAATAAATATCACGGCAATACTGAATAACGGAAAATTATTGAGCATTACCCTCCCTGAATCATCTACATACTCATTATGTTCACGCAAGATATTATCCAGTAAGTGTTTCGACTTGATGCACAAATGCATGTCGCGTGCGTAAAAGAACACAAGGACGTGATACGATGTAACCGTAACAAAATACCAAAAGACGAGCCCAAGCAAAGCAAATCGAATCCGTAACAAAAAAGATTGTCTAAATCAAACATCGAAAATAATTCTCTCTTACTAACTTTACAACAATGCATGGGCGCGCCCTTTCTAAACCTGCGGCCGGCATTCTTTCCTGTGATCGACTCATTTGCATTTATTATCGCTTACAGTTTATTTAGAAAAAAACGATTGATACCCAGGATTTTTTAATACTGCAACAATGCAAAAAGAATTAACTGCAATGTTAAGAATACTCGCTTTGTAATCGATGGAAATGGATTACGATTTTTTTCGGGGCCTCGCGCACATCCGCCATTTTGTTATTCGCGACAATCGTATCGCACAAAGCAAGTCTCGTTTGTAAGCCATCATCGTGAATTCCGCGCGTTCAAAGCATATCAATTTAACCGAGATCGATAGTTTCTTTTATAAAACGACGTTTCATTTCGAACGCAAGATCGAGAGATACGTAGGATGAAAAAAAGGTTACCTGTCCTCCTGCGATTCTTGGCCATTTTCTGCGGCGTCCCCGCCGCCGTTCTCCGCTTCGCCGTTCTGCTCGAAGTTTTGATCGGCAATATCTTCGCTGAAGTCCTTGTTCTCCTGATCGGCCATTATATACTATTACTTTGTTTTTCTTTAATTAAACACTTAAAACACAATACAAGATCGCGTTTTAACGAATAATTAAATACACTATAGCAGCTAATACACTCTCACGTCCGTACTGATCGGCCGCCGAATGGAGAAGGGAGAGGTACGACCTGCGCCAGTTTGACTCAGGGGATTCCGCGCAAAGCATCATGGAATCTCTTTCACCGCTCCCACCCCTTACCCACTCTTTCGACCAATCAAATTTTACCATGCAATAACGTAGCTTTAACATTTGCGCCCTCTGATTTTACACTTTCTCAAATGTACGCATTATTCATTATAAATTTTCTGCAATACTGAAAAAAATTATATTTTCTAAAAGTATTATTTCAATGTATCTCATTTCTAATGTATAGTACATGTAAAGTTTTCGGTTTGACTAAAATTAAAACTTGTAATTTTTAGATTTATTAATTTTGTTGAGTGGTTTGGCTTGGTTGGTTTAAACAACTACTTTTAATTTTATTTTACAAAGTTTTGCTTGTGATGGAATACTTTTATCGATGACTAAGTAAATTTTATTGAAGCGGTAAAAAATTATTGATAACAAAGAAAAAATAAATTATTACAATTTGGAAATATCGGTACGTCCCTAGCATACCAATCGATGTTGCCGGGTATTCCAGCAAAGGGGAGCAGAGCATGTAATGGCCAGCATATGTAAATTTTCGTCCAGCGTGGGGATCAGAGCGAAACGAAGGACCAATACGATTCATGGTAACCGCTGAACACTGTATGTCAGCCAATAGCTACTCGTCGAAGATCCGGCTCCATTTGTAAGCATCATTTCCCAGAATTCTATACGCGTAACCTCCAAGAAATCAATAAAATATTCCTTATAAAATCCATCCCGATACATTTATTTTCTTTCCCCAGGTTTTCGTATTTTTACTTCTATCATTTCATCCAGATAAACGGTTCAATTATTCATTCAGAAAAATCAAACTGATTTCTACGCTGACACGCAATAAAAGCGGGAAACATTTATAGTTGATTCAGCATTCTCGGTATGGGATGAGTCAACAGACGCTAGTAGGTGTCGCTGCAGGCGCTGCAGGTGTCGCTACAATACTGCTACGCACAAAGAAAAATTGTTAAAAACACGTTACCTTTGAAATATATTTCTTTCTTTCAGATTATTTAGCTAATAAAATTTTTATTGTTAATAATATTCTAGTTACTCATTTTGTTATTCCTTTATTTTAATGCTAGTTTGTAATTGTAGGCAGTGCTGTCGCTAGAGGAGGGAAGATGGGGTTACTGGACCCTCAGAACTTTCAAAACTTATAGAAATAATTTCATGAAGTATAATATGACTACCACTTTTATTCAAGTAAAATCACTTTTTATTCTAGTAGAAACTTGAGATACAGTATTATAATGCCGCTAATTTTTATTTCAGATAAATTCAAGCGGTGTTAATTGTACACATTCTGTAATTGAATTCCGATCTTCATTTGTTTACCGAAGTTGATTGATGAAATTCTTACGTGTCACAATAAAATTTCCGTGATCTTTAGTTGCTTTCTTGAAAATGCCTGAGGAAAAGGTAAAGTCCCCCGTGTTTCCTAAAATAAAACGAACGGAAGGACGCACATGGTCACAGCATATGCTCTATCCTTAGATTTTGAGGCTGCAAGATGTTTGGCGTACTTGTAACAAAATAAGGGCGGCGATATTTCGCGTTGGCTTTAGTTTATGGGATTACTATAAGCCTCTGGACCCAGAAAAAAATTGCTTGATTTCAGGTACAATAATTAAAGCATTTATTTTTTTTTAAATAAAAATCTCATAAGTGATCGCATCTTTATCGCCGATTATATAATGTTAATATGCAGAGTCGAAGTTTATTTCGGTTTTGGCTGGGCCCCTGAAGGATGTAGTCGGTCTATCCGATAGCGAAATTTGCGATTTGGCTGATTATTTTCGCGTTCAAGATGGCAGAGTACTGTACACGCAGTTTTGCAAAATTATCCACGATAGCGGTATGAATAATTTTTATAAATAAATCTTTAACTCAAACTTTGACCCAGTTTAATCAATTTTATCGTGCACAGAAACTTGCACTGCATGTACGAATATTGATATGAATTTTCGATTGCATAGAGAAAGAAATATTAAGCGTCGAAATCTGTGGCCTGCGGTGTCTAAAATCCGTATTCATACCTGAGGTACCGTTAAGTCAGGGCTTCCCAAACTTTTATGGGCCGACCCACATTTTGAAGCTATTCACTATTCACTCGTACCTAGGATTTTACGACGCCGAAATCTTCACAATTGCACTTTGAAATTTTTTAAAATATTTAAAAATAATAACTTTTCAAAGTCTCAAATTTTTGTTTTTGACTAGATTGTATGATGCACTTTGTAAATACTGTTTTTTCTGCAGTTCCTGAATTCGATAAAAATAAACCGCTCGTAACCGGACTAGAATGGGAAGATCCGGAACACGTGAATCGACTGAGTGCAACAGAGTATCGCAAATTATGTCTGATACTCACTCAAATCGCTGTTCTTGTGACCAAACGGAGACTCGTCCTCAGGCCCTATTTTCAAGACTATGAATTAGTACTGTCTCAATATCAAATCCTTGAAAAATTAAAAATTTATAAAATTGTACCCTGTTACAATTTCTTTGATTCACAGATCTCGAAGAATGCAGGAACAGTGACTTTCACGCATTTCGGCCGAATCTTGAAATTCTTAGACATCCTCCTGGCCTCCGAAGAATTCACTTTGCTCGTCAAAAGATTCGCGAAGGACGCTTACACGATTAATTACGTGGCCTTCTTGAAAGCGGTCGACGAAATTCAGTCCTACTTCGACAAACACGGAATGCTGGCTCTTGGTGGAGTAATGATCATCCATTTTGTTAAACCGATCTTATTTGTTATTTGGAATATTTTTAAAAGGAGTTACTCGATCAATTCCCTGGGCGAATCATCACAGCTGAGCTACCGAAACTTCCGAGGCCGGAAATCGGAAAGTGCTCGCCTGGAAAAGTATTTGGAAAGCAGACGGTTTTCCATCCGGTGACGGAGGAGCCGAGAGTTGAGATGTCGTTGATGGAAACTGTTCGACGCATACAGCGACACGTTTACGAACATCGAATACGCATTTCTGAGTTTTTTCAGGTTAACTCGCATTTAAATAAGCTTTATAACTTTTATTAAGCTTGAAGACTTATGCGAAATTGATTACAGAGGTTTGACCATTTGAATGCGGGCAGAGTAACGATCTCGCAATTCAAAAGAGGATTAGACGGTCTTCAGGTTTCGGGCCTGGGAAGGCTTTATTTAGCAGAAACGGAAATCGACGCCCTCGTTCAGCTCTACAAAGATCCAAACGATCCGGATCGAGTATGTTGGCGCACATTCCAAGACGACATCGATCAAGGTTCTCATCCAAAGCAAACATTAAACATTCGATATACTTCAATTTTGTTTTTCATTCACAGTATTCACCGTGAAGGAGTTGGAAAAATTGCCGAATCTGAAAGTTGAATCACCTCCAAAGGAAATAGCGGAGCTAAACCGGAAGGGAACGGCCGATTGGCAATGTGTGTCGAAGGACATCAGAGACCTTTGCGAGGAAACGCTGCAGAAAGTTCGTCACCGAGTGAACGAAAGAAGAATTATGATCAAGCAATTTTTCAAAGACTACGATCGGTATGAACGTGAAAAGTGAAATTAGTTATCTGTAATTTATTCGTGTTTACTTTCCAGAAATAACAAAGGTCACGTGTCACGTGCACAAATGCGTCAAGTTTTAACAACTGCGGCGGTGTTGATTTCAGAACAGGAGGAGTACGCGTTAGAGCAGAGATATAACGACGAGTTAGGGTTTAACTATATTTGGTTCCTAAGGGAATTAGAGTCGCAGCGAATAGAAGAACCTTTGTACGCTTCTCTACTGAAAGAGAAGGAAATGATCAACGCCGAGAAACCGCCACCGGAACCCAGCGCCGACGAGACAAATATTGTTCTAATTTTAGCAAAGATCAAAGCAAAAGTCGTGCGCGAACGCGTGAAGGTAAACGCGATAGTACAAATTTCCTTTGGGTAATTGTAATTCTTTCGTTTTACGTAAAGGTTGTTGAATTCATGCGTCAATACGATGTTCATAATGAGCTCGTGATTAAGAAAGCAGACTTTATGCGAAGTTTAGATCAACTGCGTTGTAATTTAACTTGCGCGGAAATAGGAACCATTATGAAGGTCTTCCAATCGCCAATGAGGTAAATATGGGACACATTTATGGTGTTTTCATGGAACTAGGTTTTAAATTTGATCTCTTATTTTGAAGATCGGATTGCGTGGATTACGTGAAGTTCGGAGAAACGATCGAGGAGGCTGTTTCCTTTGGTAGTTTAGAAAGAGCTCCACTTTTAGTGCCGATGCAACACGTGCCCTCGGAAGCTTCTCCTAAAACGTTCTTGACTTTCGATGAGAGACATATGGCTACGACTGCAATGGACAAACTGAGCAGAGTGAAGCAGCCGAATCTTTCCGAGTTGTTCAAGGTCAGCTGAACACTTAAAAAATTTATCAAGTATTAGACTAAATACATCAAATATTATATATACAACTAAATGAGTTATAATGTTACACAATTTATTATTACATATTATTAGTTACTACAAATAATAATTTAGAAATATATATTTAATTTCAACACGCTGTTCTGTAGGACTGTGACAAGGAAAATATCGGCACAGTTTCAAAGAACTGTTTGATGAAGGTCCTCTCCACCAGACATATGTTACAGTTAATCGGTAACAGAGAGCTGGACGCAGTACACAAATGTTTCTCTGTGGAGAGGGGTGGTCGCTTGGAACTTGATTATCGAGCATTTTTGCATGCTCTGCACCTAATGCGGGAGAACAGAAAATATCTGCACTTTTAAGTCAACTTATTATAAAAGAAAACTCAAGAAACTGCATTGAATAAAATTTGGTATTCCAACTTTACCGGGTATATTTTAGAAATACCTTGTATTCTCAGAATATGGCATTCAGGTTCTTAAGAATTCTTGGTTTTTGACCTGCAGGCAATAAAGGTTTGGACCTATCATTTTTCCTTCAGTACCTGCCGTATGGCGTGCAGAAAATGGACAACAAAACCTGACCCTTCTAAACGAGATACGATCCTTCGGTAGCGACATGGTTATAGAGAACAAATTTTTCCTTCTACACGTTTCATATATCTGCTACAAATCTATTTCTGTTCAATAGTTTCCTCTAACTGCAGTACAACAAAATTTAAATTTAGGTAACTTAGCTATCTTGTATAAAAAATTGTTTAACTATGTTAACTATGTTAATGTTTTTGTATGTAGTTCTTGTCTTAAATACAAGGTTTCTAATTTGATCTTGAATATTTTTTATTTAAATCAACTTTTGGTTTAGGAATTTTAAGACTTAGGATGTTTAATTATTTTTATAGCTATGTTACATATTGGCAACATGTGGCAAATGTGTGGGATGTAAATAAAAATGTCAAGATATTTTGTGAACACTGAAACTTTATTACTGTATAATGGTAAATGGAGAACTGACGTTTTCTACGTTACCAACAGCTGTGATCACAGCTGGCACAGTAGGATGTGACTGTATCAGCTGCTGACTTATTCTAATATGAAATATTTAGAAATTAATTACTTCTATAAGATATAATTTGATGTATATTATAGTACATTAAGCAGATACAATATTAATTGAATTTTAAAAAAAATATAGGGTAGTCTTCCTATATTTTAATAATCAATAAATAATAACTTTGCAAAAATAACTGATTTTATTGAAATTGATTCTGGATTTGATTTTAATACGTGCTCTTGAATTCAGGTTTCATTACATAATGAATAGCGAACGATTTTCTTTTTAAAATAAAATTAAATATGATCAAACGACGAGAGCTTTAAACTTAAACATCAATCATTTGTTAAAACGTACAAATAGAATTCTTCATGATCGACGGCTTGGTAATAGAACTCTTCTTGACTGACAACTCTGATGATCATTACAAAAATATAACAAGTGGCGCCATCTCTCCGATGGACCATAAAGTATTCTACAGTTTCGTCGGTATTTATATTCTTAGATTAGATTCCAACATTATCGATTAAAGTAATCTTGTTTCACTACAGTAGTTAAATACCTTATCTCCACTTTCACGAAACTTCAACCTTAACCTAACCAAACTATTTCGACTCCAAAATTAAATTAAAAAAATATCCGTTAAATGGTGCATCACGGGTACGAGTCGCGTAGTACCCATAATCCCGCGAAATCCTTATCGGGTAAGCAGTGCAGCAATAAGATGTCGACAGTGTGGCCGATTATGGTCGAAAGCCTCCGTCTGTCTCGTGAAATGCCACGGCCCAAAAGTGGCAGCGCGTGTCTCCTGTCGCTCGGAACGATTCGGCGTGTGTTACTGTTGTGTACAATTGTTATCATCAAGATATCCCTTTAGTTTCGTCCGTTCTCCGTACGCATGACAAGTGTTCGTTCTCATACGTAGTAGACCGCGTGCGAGTCCGCATGAAAACCCATAATCCCCAGCATTTCGAACGTTTACGTCGATCAAGGCGGTGACGACTGTGATTTGCATTGCGGCAGCGTTCGGGTGCGGTGACGGTGATTCAGTGTTGTTCGACGTGGACAGGAAAACAGTGTCGAGGGACAGGTGAATTTAGCCGAGCCGGACAAGCAGACACTGCGGACCAGACGGTCAGGGAAAAGGTTAACGCGACACAGACACGCAACGTCGCACGTACACAGCCGGGCAAAGAGACACGCGACGTTTACGCATATCGGTGCAGTGCAGGCGAAAAAAAACGAACGGCTGGTCGTCGAGCCGGGCGGAACGGTGATTTTTTCGCCGCCATATTTGTGCCGCCGTCACATGCAACCTGTTGTTTTCGGTGCGTCCTCGTGTCGTCGCTGAGATCGCTGCCGGATACGATCCGGCGACGTGTGCGTGAAACGTCAAACGCGGGAGTTAGAGGCCCTGGGGGACAACGTGGGTAGCCGCCATCAGGATGAACGGGTAAGTTTATCTTCCCTATATTATCGATAAGTCGCGGCGCAGTGGCGGATTCTCCCAGAGCCCCACGTTATATTTTCGATCTTAAAAAATACTCACGATGAACCTTATAATTTTTTGGGCTCACCATAATATTAAATTTTGTGTGCTGTATATTATGCCATATATACATTTAAAAATTTGTGTAATGCCCCGGGCGCACAGCGAGGTAAATCCGTCATTGGGCGCGTGTACATTCGTGGAAGAAAGGGAAAGGATACAGGGTGTAACTGAGTGGATGAGAGAGAGAAAGAGAGAGAAAGAATCGATCTGTGCGTCATAAAGAGAGAGGACATTACGAGAGTGGGAGAAGGAGAGTTCAGTGAGAGTACAGTGAGCAGGCGCTCTTTCAAAATACCGCTTTTCTTTATCTTCATCTCTCTTGGTATTCTTTACGCTTTCACGCGTATGTGTGCACGTGTGTACGTACACGTGCCCAACTAGACGTTACTTATGGCTTTTCTGCTTCTGCGTGCCGGTGGCCACGTGATGCCTCAAACTGCTGCGTCGCGTGGCCTATCTCTTACTCTCACTCTCATTCGACAATCATTTTGTCATCGGGTTTCGCTTCTGCCTGGTTTAATGGTTCTTACGTATTCTCTTAAAACTTGCAAATTTTTTTATTCTTAATGTTTGCGGGGCTTCAGAATTAATTTATGAAGGGTTAAGCGTTTATCGAATTAAAATATTTGAGGGGTAACTTTCCGGTCGGTATTTCGACGCACGGGGTAAGTATCCGGATTCCACCCTTAACAGGTGTGTTTTATCAACCCTCGGTCACGTGATCACTTCTATCATCGGTGGATAATATCTGCAATTATCAAATTCGAGTACTGCCAAATTGACATTTGGCCGATCGAGTATGTCCAAATATATCCAAGGTTAGAACGTGAGAGATACTCGAGATTTTCGACATCGATTTTATTGTAGCAGAGAAATACAAATTTTTCTAAAAAATTTGTTGTTATATGACCATACTGACAAAATAGAACTACTACAAAGATCAGAACTACTTCAAAGAGACTACTACAAAGTTCAGAACAATCCTCGTGTCGTCGCTGAGATCGCTGCCGGATACGATCCGGCGACGTGTGCGTGAAACGTCAAACGCGGGAGTTAGAGGCCCTGGGGGACAACGTGGGTAGCCGCCATCAGGATGAACGGGTAAGTTTATCTTCCCTATATTATCGATAAGTCGCGGCGCAGTGGCGGATTCTCCCAGAGCCCCACGTTATATTTTCGATCTTAAAAAATACTCACGATGAACCTTATAATTTTTTGGGCTCACCATAATATTAAATTTTGTGTGCTGTATATTATGCCATATATACATTTAAAAATTTGTGTAATGCCCCGGGCGCACAGCGAGGTAAATCCGTCATTGGGCGCGTGTACATTCGTGGAAGAAAGGGAAAGGATACAGGGTGTAACTGAGTGGATGAGAGAGAGAAAGAGAGAGAAAGAATCGATCTGTGCGTCATAAAGAGAGAGGACATTACGAGAGTGGGAGAAGGAGAGTTCAGTGAGAGTACAGTGAGCAGGCGCTCTTTCAAAATACCGCTTTTCTTTATCTTCATCTCTCTTGGTATTCTTTACGCTTTCACGCGTATGTGTGCACGTGTGTACGTACACGTGCCCAACTAGACGTTACTTATGGCTTTTCTGCTTCTGCGTGCCGGTGGCCACGTGATGCCTCAAACTGCTGCGTCGCGTGGCCTATCTCTTACTCTCACTCTCATTCGACAATCATTTTGTCATCGGGTTTCGCTTCTGCCTGGTTTAATGGTTCTTACGTATTCTCTTAAAACTTGCAAATTTTTTTATTCTTAATGTTTGCGGGGCTTCAGAATTAATTTATGAAGGGTTAAGCGTTTATCGAATTAAAATATTTGAGGGGTAACTTTCCGGTCGGTATTTCGACGCACGGGGTAAGTATCCGGATTCCACCCTTAACAGGTGTGTTTTATCAACCCTCGGTCACGTGATCACTTCTATCATCGGTGGATAATATCTGCAATTATCAAATTCGAGTACTGCCAAATTGACATTTGGCCGATCGAGTATGTCCAAATATATCCAAGGTTAGAACGTGAGAGATACTCGAGATTTTCGACATCGATTTTATTGTAGCAGAGAAATACAAATTTTTCTAAAAAATTTGTTGTTATATGACCATACTGACAAAATAGAACTACTACAAAGATCAGAACTACTTCAAAGAGACTACTACAAAGTTCAGAACAAGTATCGACTTCATATAAAGAGTTACACAAAATGAAACTCGTAAAAAGCGCAAAAAATTCCAAAATATGGAACAATGCGTTATATGGCATATTTGAAGAACCACCTCCCTAATGAGAGTCACTGTGTTCCAATTTTCGATTCCTAATTACACAAAGTCGTCCATAACCCTCAATCTGAAGACGTCTATATACACTTTAGTGGGTAGGATCTCAAGACGAAATTAGATTTCGCCACTTCATCGGTTCCGCGTAGATATGCAATAAGACGAACGTGTCCAGCTCGTGGATTCGCGCCAGCGAAAGATTTATCGGCGGACCGTGTGCTACTACTTAATAAGACGCTCTGATAGTTACCTACCGGTAACCGTGCTTCCAATAGATCTCTCTATGACACGCCTGTTCGAATCCTAGCTCGTGGATAATGGGACAATTAGGTGACATCGTTCCAACGCTTGTAACACGGAGATCACCGTGTTTCCTGAAACTGTGCTGCCAATTCGTCTGACTTACTTTTTGGAATTCTACATAGATTCCTATGGATACATTTTGTTTATCATCATTGTGCGTTTTAACTGTTAAATCAGATTATAGCTTTTGGGTTTGATAATTAGGTCAGTTTGTTAGGTCTGTTCGAGGTTCAGAATTAGGTTCAGGGATTAGTTTAGTTTAGGGATCGCTAGGTTCAACGTGAGTTGACAATTTTTGGGTTTAGCGGAGGATTTGGGTTTAGAGATTCTTATAATTTATACTTTTATTCATTTGTAGTTATTACGAGTGATAATGTTAGAAGATTAATCGATGTGTCTTTCGTCAGCGCACTTCTAGTGTATGCACCGTATGTGACGCCACTGCGTCCACAAGATGGCCGCCACTGCGGCCACAAGATGGCTGCCGCTACGTCCACAAGATGGCCGCGCGCCGCCATTTTGTCACTGCGTCTGTTAACTCTCTTTTGGACCCACTTTTTGACCCTTACGCACTAGCAACATATATTATTTTGTACAGTGATCGACACTAATTCAGCAGTCGACTATTGCAAGCAGAAAGCTATATTATATTATTAATTCCAAAAATAATTTAGCTCTGCAGTTTCATTAGTGGTATACAAGAAATCTGTGCTTTAGAAGATGTAAGTTAGAGCAGCTTCTTTGCGTTCAAGTGCCCTAAACATGTTTAGGAGAGTGTCCTCATTAATTGAAGACATTGTATGATGTCTTAAGTCCCCTCATTAATTGAAGACATTGTATGGCGTCTTAAGTGTCCTCATTAATTGAAGACATTGTATAGCCTCTGAAGTGTCCTCATTAATTGAAGACATTGTATGATGTCTTAAGTCCCCTCATTAATTGAAGACATTG